AAGCCTGTCCAACTGGCCCCAGAGCCAGAGCTTCTTGCACCACACTCCACCATGCCTATTGTCTCCATCCTTGGATAGAGAAGAGCTGAAACAAGAAGGCTGAGCGTGTCCTTGCTCAACCTCAGCTGGGTGCTGGTAGGGTGACTCGTGCTTTTTGCACTCCGGGAATGTCTGAAATGAACACAAAAAGGCCACAAGTATTGATTTGGGGTTTCAGATTAATTTTTACATTGTAGTGAGTACCCATATTGCAAATATGGGATCTGTAACTAATAAAGATAGGCTGTAGAATTTGTGAGGAGGTCCCTGTTAGAAGCAGAGTTGAGAGTGCCTGCAAATACCTTTTCTATATCTTCTGGCTGGTCCCTTTTCGCCCCTTCAGAGACTTGTCAGAGAATTATAACCTGACCAATAAAAAGGACCCACTCTTAGCCACGTTCAGTCATAGTACCTTGTTTAATTTCCTCTATGCACTTGTCATGATCCAAAATTTTTATGTATTTCTTGACTTGTTCAGACTGTTCCCCTACGCTTCTATGTAAACTCTGTGATAGCTTCGTCTAGCCTGGACCCCCTGCACGCCCAGCACTTGGAACGCTGTCAGAGAAACTCTGAGAATCCAGTTGCTGTTATCCGAATGAATAAATGAACGGGTAGATGAATGAATCATTAGCTGTATGTAAGTCTTTCACAGTGAAGCCTGCAAGTGTTTTATAAGAGTAGAGTTGAGCTTGCATGACGTTGGCTGCGCTGTCTGCAGCCTCAGATAAGGCGTCAGGGCCTAAAACATGGGATAATAACACGTAAAAGAAGAAATAAATTTTGCCAGAATTGAGATTGGGTCTAACTTTAGAAGGCTTACTTTGAAGTGTTTTCCAAAAAGATGAAGTTGGTACTAAGAACTAGAAACAATGCTGGCGGGAGGAGGGGGCGGGGATGCGTTTCAGGATGAGAAAGGAAGCTGTAACTCTAGGTGTAGAGAGGTGGCATGCTGAGACATGGGCAAGGCCAGAACAGAGATGAGGTCGAAGTACCTGAGTATTTCTTCTCATGAGGGGTCGATGTGGCATTTACACATGAATATAATTGAGATGAGCAGTGAGGACCCTGGAATGGAAAGAGGCCTAATTCTCAGCTCTATTTTGTTTTGCCATATCAAGGGCCCTGAAGGATAAGTGCCCTATTCCAGTGTGGTCCAGAGGTGGGATCCAGCAGCCGCCTACCACCCGCCATCATTCCTAATTATCTCCATCCCACTCCTGTCTTTAGGCTAGGGACAAAGAAGGTGGAAGTAGAGGTCAATGAAAGAAGGTTTAGGGGCTGTTTCTTTCATCCTTAGATTGGCTCTACTCAGAGCGCGTCTATTAGCCCTAGTGATTCTGAATCAAAAGATATGAATCAGAAATTGAAAGCTGAAGTCATAACCAGGAGCTGCCAGCTTCTAAACCAAACCTGGGAACTAGAAACGCCTGAACACACTGCAAGCAACCAATAAACCCTGCCGTATTTGGATTAATGGCCCATAGAAGAAATGAAGTCCAATCAAATCATTAACTTCTTTTAAGTGACATATAAAACAGCAAAACTGTGGAAAACTTCTTTGTAGTGGAAGATTTTCAGAAATATAGGATAGCATTCAACTTATTTTATTGTACCTTTTGGAATATAAGAATGCTAGAGTTACACAAATTTGGAAGCTTCATCAAAGTATAAAAAGAGATTCGACTTTCCTGGTTTCAAAGGAAAGTCAATTCTGTGTTTTTTTGAAAGATTCTAAGGGAAATACTTGGCCTAAAATGAACAGATCATGTTTCCAAATTTCTGGGAATTTATATTTTGGGGCCATGGTGGTTGTGGTATCAGCTTTCTCAAAACATATTTGGCTCAACAAAGTAGATTTCGGTCTACTTTTTTTGTAAAACAAATCTGTCCATCGTAAATATCAAATGGTCAGATTTTGATTAAATGGAACCCCATGTTATGATGGCAACTGGGACACTTTTCCTACCATAGAGTAACCCAAAACCCAATGATCTTCAGAGTGAAATGGATCCCAAACTAAATCGTAGTCTATTAACAAAACTATTTCTCAGTGCAGACAACACCACCTCAGATTTGTCTATGACTTCACAGTGTTACTTATTTCCTCATATATTATTTCATGTACTTACCATAATAATCCCACATGGCTGAGACAGCAGATATTACTCACCTCATTTCACAAAATAAGAGAACTTAGAAATGGATATTTTTCTTGAGTTCCCCAACATCATCATCCTGTGAGTGAGTAGAGTTAGTACTCTGCACCACATTTCCTGGCACACCTATTCTAGAAGTACTAGTGGGGTTAGATCAGGGTTACTCAAAACTGGAATATCATTAAGCACAGGATATGTTAGCGACAACGTCAAAACCTGAGGACTTTGTGACATGGTCAATTGATTTTTGGCAAAAGTGCTGAGACACTTCACTGAAGGGAAGAATTGTTTCTTCCATAAATGGTGCTTAGACAACTGGCTATGCATAGGTTTGACACAGTTTGACCCTACTCCGCACCATACACAAAACAACTCAAAATGGCTCATAGACCTAAACGTAAGAGATAAAACTTCTAGAGGAACACAGAGGCGTAAATCTTCATGACCTTGGATTAGGTTGCTTAGCTATGATGCCAAAAGCACAAACGACAGTAGAAAAGTAGGTAAATTGGACTCTATCAAAATTAAAAACTTTGATGCTTCAAAGGGCATCATCAAGGTGTGCCTGGCTGGCTTGGTCAGAAGAGCATGTGACTCTCGATCTCGAGGTTGTGAGTTCGAGCCCCACTTGGGGTGTAGAGATTACTTAAATAAATAAAACTTAAAAAGAAAAACAAAGGACATCACCAAGAAAATGAAGAGACTTGGGAGATATGCCTCATTTCATACAACAGCCAAAATCGCTGCGCTTTCAGAGCTTGCATCCCATTAGACTTACCCTGATTGTATGCTCGAGTACAATTTCGCTCTTAGGGCTCATTCTAAAAGATATTTTTTAAACGTAAGGTGATACTTCCCAGAAATTTCACTTTCCCCATCATAATGTGCCCCTGGTTTCTATATGATTACATCCTTTTCACAGCTCAGTTGTAGTCAGTTATTAAATTCAGTTTGAGGTCAAAGGGAAAGACAAAAAATTTCTTGAGAGTAGTGGCATTTGGAGTATTTCCACGGATAGCTAAATTTATTTGCGAATCCTCAAAGGGAACTAGAAATGACAACATAAAAGTGACATAAAAGAAATCGAGTCCGGTGATGAACTTCCTTGAAATATTAGTCTGAGTTCCACGTCTGTACTTGTCCATCAATGCATCTTGTGATTTTTTTTCTTTTGTTCATTAAACATTTAGCAAGCATATCTGTGTGCTAATCTGACATAGGAGCTAATCTTGGAGTTTGCTGCAGATCGCCAATGACCATCATCTTCTCAATAAGATGTCTTGAGTACTCTCTCTGCTGTGTCTTATAGTGATCAGGAATAAAACTCAAGGAATCTTGGCCTCCGGAAACAGGACATTATTTCTCTGAAGAGTCATCAGTAGATTTCTATCCTGAACTTCTGACCCTACTTCCAGTCTATCTCATTCATAGAGAATGGAATTACTCCAGTTAAATAAAGTATCCCAAATCAAAAGGGCTTAATGACTGGGCCATGTCCTCTCCCCGAGATATGCTAGAGCAATCAATGATGCTATTGTCATTCTCTGTAACACTGCAACTTCTGTGCTGTGTTAAAATCATAAAACTCATGCATGCTCTCTCCACTTCCCACAGCTGTGATTTCTGGGCCTCTTGTTTGCGAATAAGCATTTCAAAATTGTCATGAGGTGGAGGAAATAGCATGTGCGGAGTATTTCCCAAGCCCAGTTGCCAAGAATGAGCTAATTGTCACCCTCCCTTGCATATAATGAGTCTTAAAAACTTCAAATACAAGCCATTCTCTAATGATCTACCTTTTCTAGAGAATGGCATGTGTTCATTGTAGAACCGTGGTCTTTCAGAAGTATACCAGAAGTAAAATTTTAAATCATGTCATAAGATTAATAAAATAGTCAACCATCCTTTTTCTTTTTTGATGTTTCCATAGTGATGAAATACAAAGTCAATATCTATATTTAAAAGAAAAGTAGGGATGCCTGGGTGGCTCAATGATTGAGCGGCTGCCTTTGGCTCAGGGTGTGGTCCCAGGGTCCTGGGATCGAGTCCCACCTGGGGCTCCCTTCAAGGAGCCTGCTGCTCCCTCTGCCTATGTCTCTGCCTCTCTCTGTGCCTCTCATGAATAAATAAATAAAATCTTTAAAAAAGTAAATATGATATAATCTTGCTACCTTGCTTTTGGAAAATTTGTTCAATGGACATTGATAGTAATCTACCCTCCATAAAGGAATAATATTGTGTTTTAACTTACTTTTTATGTTTAAAAGGCCAAAATTACACTTTTTTTCAAGGAATAAAAGCAGGAATTACAAATATATTTCATGTGTTGATCTCCAACTAATTGGTAATAGCTACATATATGTGGGATTAAGGAAGATGCTGAGGCCAAGTATGGCTTAGTAGAAAAGACTGCTACCATTGGATAATAGTGTTCTCCAAGGATGCAAGATAGGGAATGGACACTAAGTCCTATATTTTCCATCTCTATATAATTGGAAGAAAAGTTAACGTTTAAAATATCTTTTTAGGGACCCCTGGATGGCTCAGCGGTTGAGCGTCTGCCTTCAGCCCAGGACATGATCCTAGAGTCCTGGGATCGAGTCCCACATTGGGCTCCCTGCATGGAGCCTGCTTCTCTCTCTGCCTGTGTCTCTGCCTCTCTCTCTGTGGGTGTCTCATGAATAAATAAAATCTTTAAAAAATATATCTTTTTAGTGATCACCAGAAACACAGTAGTCTACATTAAAGAGCATGTAACTGAAAACAAAGGCCAAATTAATGCTTACTATTCTATCTATCCTGTAGGTCAATGCATCACGTCAAGAAGCCAAATTGATGGAGGAGTGTGATCTTCTCATTGAGATCATTCAGCAAAGACGACAGATTATTGGAACCAAGATCAAAGAAGGGAAGGTATGATTTCTAGGGCAGAAGATTTCATATTCTCTACCTGGAGAAAACATATTCCCATGCACATCAATAGCTTAGGAAATATTGAATACCCCCCTTGTCTATATTTTCTGTAATCTCCTTTTAAGTCTCTAAGGTGGAGCTCAAAGGCCCCTGGTTGGCCATTTTTTTGTCCAACCCTTTCTTTGTATTATGGTGTCCTATGCACACCTATAATGCAGGGATTATGTTACATTACCTCTGCTCCATTACTGAACTTCTGTGGGGCAGCATGAAGCTCTGGTCTATTATAGCTGTTGTTTTCATCTTTCTTCTCTAGGTAGGTTCCACAGAGGAGGAGTTCATTTCATATTTACTGCTATATTTTAGCAGTTAACACAGTATTAAATAAATGTGTCAGAGAGCCTGGGTGGCTCAGTCAGTTAAGCGTCTGCCTTTGGCTCAGGTCACATGATCCCATGGTTCTGAGATCAAGTCCCCCATCAGGCTCAGTGGGGAGTCTGCCTTTCCCTCTACCCCTCCCTCCTGCTCATGCTTTCTCTTTCTCTATCGTTATCCCTCTCTGTCTCGCAAATAAATAATAAATAAATAAATGTTTCAATGAATCAGATTTTATATAGAAATTGCAAAGTGTTTTCCTATGCTGTTGAGCAAATTCAGACAGGTATAATTTCATGGTGGCAAAACTCCTATAGTTTCACTATATCATATATCCCTTTGTGAATATATTAATAGTAATTCCTTTCTAATGTTTGTATGTTTAAAATTCCTATGGTTTTTATTGAAATACCTAGGATCCATTTTATTTTACCCATTTCTCTGCCACCCTCAAAAGGTAATTTTGTAAATATTTTAAAAGTAGAAACATTCATTCAAAATACAATAAACTCATGAAGTTCTATTATTACTGCTCATAACCATACTTTAATGAAATCTGTATAATTAAATTAGCAACTATTAAGTGGTACACAGAGGTTACAATAACTAATATATGTGCTCGTCTCTGTTTTTTACCAAATTTAAAAGGTAATTTCAATATTGCATAATATTTTAACCACTTTGTCTATATAGGCTGAAAAATATTTATAATGTAAATTACGATGTGATCAGAAAAAAGTCAAATGAAATAGCTCTTGAAGCTGTTACAGTGAATTAACAAATTAATATGAAATCATTCCTTGGCCAAGAACTGACTCAGGTGTGTTGAGAAGCAACTTTTCCCTACGTACAAATTGTACAATTTAGAAGAACACTGAGTGGGGCACCTGGGTGGCTCAGTCTGCTTTTGGCTCAGGTCACGATCTTAGGGTCCTGAGATCAAGCACCACATGGGGCTCCCTGCTCAGCAAGGAGTCTGTTTCTCCCTCACTCTCTTCTCCCCCTGCTCTTGCTCTCTCTCTCTGTCTCTCAAATAAATAAATAAAACCTTTAAAGAAAAAAAAAAAGAGCACTGTCAGCCAGGAATCCTTACAGGGTATTTTTCCTCTTATCATATACCACATGTGTACATCTCTCTCTTTTTTTTTTAATTTTTATTTTTTTTATTTATTTATGATAGTCACAGAGAGCAAGAGAGAGAGAGCGAGAGAGAGAGAGAGAGAGAGAGAGAGAGGCAGAGAGAGAAGCAGGCTCCATGCATCGGGAGCCCGATGTGGGATTCGATCCCGGGTCGCCAGGATCGCACCCTGGGCCAAAGGCAGGCGCCAAACCACTGCGCCACCCAGGGATCCCCTGTACATCTCTTAATACCTGACATCTTCCAGGTCCTCAGATACGATTGTCTGAAGTACAGCTGCAATTAATTAATATGCATGTGAAAGGGAATGTGTTGCCTTTACATGGTGCTGGGATCAGCTCTCAATACTCCGGTATTAGTTTCTTATCGCTGCCGTAACAAATTACCACAAACTGGGTGGCTTCAAACAACACAGATTTAGTATCTGACCCTCTGGAGGTCGGGAGTCAAAAATCTGTTCCATTGGGCTTAAAGTCAAGATTTAGGCAGCGCTGTTTCTTTCCGGAGGCTCTAGGGCAAAATCCATTTGTTGCCTTTTCTGGCTTTTAGAGGCCACCCACATTCCTTGGCTCCTGGTTTATCACATCACTCTGACCTTTGCTTCCCTCCTCAGGTCTCTTTCTCTAACAGTTCTCTCTGCTTCTCTCTTCTAAGGATCCTTCTAATTACACTGGGATCACCCAGATGATCAAGGATAATACCCCCTCCCTCAAGATCCTTGCCTTAATCACATCTGCAATGTCCCTTTTGTCATGTAAAGCGCCATAGTTCAAAAACTACTGGGGTTAAGATAGGAGCATTTCTGGGGGGCCTCTATTCAGCCTGGCCAGCAGGCCTTTCCTTTGCTTAACTTCCTAGCATGACAGGGTTTCTCTCAGGAGCTAGATCAAAGTAGTGAAGGGGGCTCTGCAGTTCTGGCCATGGTGATGCAGGGGGTTCGTGCTCTGGTGCACCCACTCCACTCTCTTGTCAGTGACAAGAGAACATAGTGGAATGGGAAAGCAAAGAGATACAGCTGAATCCAAAGCAAGATAAAGGTCTCCATGATCCAGAAATGGACAAGTCCCCAATGCTGCAATTTGGCTAAAACATGGGAGTGGGACTTGGTCTGGAAGAAACCAAAGTAGCTACAGCTTCAACTCCAACGGATGAAGCGCTCTTGAAGCCTTGGGTTAAAGGGGCTGGAAGTACCCCAGATGGTATCGGGGACTAAAACCAGGCTCGTTGGTGAATGCCACAGGCCGCATAAGGCTTCTCAGTTCATTAAAAGGCACTGAAAAAGACTATTGCCAACTTCTCTTAGGATCTTAGCTTTTAGCGATTTCAGGCCTGTGAGTCTGGAACAAATCAGTTGTTGGGCTGGAGCCTGCCTCTGCACTATTTCTGATACCTGCACAGGAGAGAAGCCTCAGAAATGCAGAGGATCCCTGAATGAAGACCCCCAAGGGAGGGAGGGGGAAAACTGATGGTAAAAATAAAAAAATAATAATAATAATAAAACTGATGGTAAAACCAGTTGGCGGAGGAGTAAGAGAGGGCTAAGCCAGGAGGGTGAAGGAGAAAAAGAATTATGAATGACTTCTTCCCTTTAAATCTGAAACTCAAACCGCAGTTCTGAAGCATATAAAAAAATCTTGCATCTCTAAAAATATAGCCCACAAAATCAGCAAAGGCATTATCTCATCCCAGGTGAAATTCATTTTATGGGAAAATATAAAAAGAGATGTTTGAAATGATAAATAAAGGGATACCTTCTATTTTTAAGAGAGCAAAACCTTGTGAAGCCACACAAGGTTATAAAATCAGAAAGAAAGACTTAGGAAAATAACAAACTACCAGTTTGGGAGGTAAAATGTAGACATTGAAACTACAAAGACAACTCAGCTGCAAGGGGAATTTGGAAACTGAGTTTTAAGCCTCCACATAGGAGACGCTATTCTGCATGTAAGAATATGAAATTCGAGCCATATTCCATGTCATATCCAAAAATTAAATCTGACTGGATCATATTCCTAATACAAAAGACAAAACGGTAAAACTTCTAGAAGAAAACATGGGAGGAATTCTTGGTGAACCTTGAATTGGGCAAAGATTGTTCATAAGTAATGTTAGAAGCATCAAAGAAATATTTACAAATTAAGCAGCTAAGTGCATTTCATCAAAAGCAAAAACTTCTCTCTAAAAGGCACTGTTAAGAGAATATGAAGACAAACCACAGGTTGAGGACAAATATTTATAAGTTTTTTATCTAAATAGAAAAATATTTGTATGCAGGTATATAACAGATTCTCAAAACTCGTTAGTAAGGAAACAAACAATACCTTTACCAAAATAGATAAAAGATTTGAATAGGTACTTTCCCAAGGAAGGTATACGGATGGCAAATAAGCACAGGAAAAGATGTTCAAATCATTAGTTATTAAGGAAGGCGTGGGATCCCTGGGTGACACAGCGGTTTGGCGCCTGCCTTTGGCCCAGGGCGCGATCCTGGGGAACCGGGATCGAATCCCACGTCAGGCTCCCGGTGCATGGAGCCTGCTTCTCCCTCTGCCTATGTCTCTGCCTCTCTCTCTCTGTGTGTGACTGTCATAAATAAATAAAAATTTAAAAAAAAGGAAGGCGTTGAGAAAAGTCAGTGAGGCAAATTAGAGCTTCAATGAGAGGGGATCCCTGGGTGGCACAGCGGTTTAGCGCCTGCCTTTGGCCCAGGGCGCGATCCTGGAGACCCGGGATCGAATCCCACGTCGGGCTCCCGGTGCATGGAGCCTGCTTCTCCCTCTGCCTGTGTCTCTGCCTCTCTCTCTCTCTGCGTGACTATCATAAATTTAAAAAAAAATTAAAAAAAAGAACTTCAATGAGATACCCTACTTACCTAGTAGAACAGTTAAAATGAAAAAGATGGACTGTAACAAGTGTTGTTGAGAAAATGAAAGAACTGGAAATCACATGCCGTCTATAAAAATAAAACTGCATTTTGGAAAACTGTTTCTTAAGTAGTTAAACATACACTTACCATATGAATCCAGCCATTCTAGGTGTTCATCAAGAGAAATGAAACCATATGTCCCTGTAGGACACATACATGAATTCTCACAGAACTGGGGAAGGGCTATTACCCTTCAAATTGGAAATGACCGAAGTGTCCATCAGCAGATGGATGGATACACAGTTTGTGACACATCCGCACAATGAAATACTACTCAGCAACCAAAAAGAACATGCTGCGGATACATGCAACCACATGGATGAATCTCAATAAATTATGGTGAGTGAAAGAAGCCGGACAGAAGATAGCATGTACTGCATGGATACGTTCATACAGAAGTTTAGAAACCACACTTTCTAATAATCTACGGTGACAGAAGACAAATCAGTGGTTGCTTGGGGATGAGTGACAGGGAGTGGCGGTGGAGGGAGGAGAGGATGAATCACCAAGGGGCGGGAGGAAAAGTGGAGGCATGATCTGTGTGTTCATTATCTTACGGGTTTATGCATATTTGAAGACTTACCAAATTTGCACTTTAAATATATACAGTTTGTCATATGTTGATTATATCTCCATAAAGCTGTTGATAAGACAATTGTATATTTATATAATGGAACAGTCCTCAAAATCCTATTTTAAAATAGGATAGAAGAGAGTGCTTTCTAGGGCGACACGTATCGCCCTCGTTCACATGGACAAATCGCAAAAATACAAACAAGCTTACAGTGCTTTGCGCGGAATGAGAGTTGTTACATAGAATTTGATAAACTGCAAAAAAGTCCCATACAATGTTTGGGCATGTGTACGTATTTGGGAGTAATCCACCCTGAATTCAAAAAGGTGTTTTCCTCTGGAGAAGGACTTGAATGGAATTCGGGAGGGCTTCAGCGCTGTCAATAAAAATTTACTTCCTTTTGAGAACTCTCACGCTAATATGACAAGAAGATGGGAATTTGGGAGAGCTGATACTGTGTACAGGGAAGTTGATGATATTACTTTAAAAATTGCCTGTGTGTTTGACATTTATCACTTTCTAAAAAGCGCACCCCTGCTCGGGACGTTATCTCTGAAGGCAGTAATAGAAAGCAAACATCACTCAGGAAAGATGAGGCCCAGTTTGGCTTTCTCTTGAGTTACTGCTTTGGCACATCATCAAGGTCTAGTGGATCCCAAACCTCGGAATTCACAGTGGCTGAGTCCCCGGCCAGCGCAGGTGGTGTTAGAGATGCATTTTGAAGAATAGGGCATGAGTACCAACACTCTGGAAATCTGAGGTGCTGGGCAGGGAGGGTGGGTAAGGACTGGGTACCCAAGGAGGGTGCTCAGGGTGCTGTCCGGGCAGCCTAAGGACGCTGAATCCAGAGAAGGGACAGTGGGAGCCTCTCACCAACACTTGGAAATGTGGGAGCTGGAGGGAGATCTGGCAAGATCGTGGGGATCACGGTGGTGAACTTCACCACCTCCTGACTTCGCCGCCGTGTACCTCTGGTGCGGATCACAAGGCCGTTGGACCTGGTGGAGACAGACTCACCGCAAACCCTCCAGCTGGGGGCCTGCCAGGCAGGCAGGGTCGGGACACACTGGGGACATACTGGTCATTCCTGCTCTCAGACCATCGTGCATTCTTCGCAATAAATAGCTCGGCAGCCTTTCTACTTGGACAGACTGGAGAGTCTCAAGCCGTGAGACTCCCTGGGAAAGAATTGTCTTATCTCTTCAGGAGTAGGAGATAAATTTCATGTCAACACACGAAAAGCTGGCAGCAGACTCCAGATTGAGTAAAATATGTGTTTTATGTGCAGACACCGATCAATGGTACAAGGCTGTGGCCACAGAGAGAAAAAGTCCCTTCTCTTCACCGGTTTCACATACTCTAAATCGTCAACAGTTAAGATAATTAACTGGACTACATGTTCGGGCTTTTCTAGAGCGTTATAGAAATGCCAACTCAGGCCTCAATGGCAATTCAGATTCTTGTGCCATCGGTTGATAGGACATAACAATTTTGGGGTGGGAATCCTACAGCATATATAAAAGCACATATATTAAAAGCATTTAAAGAAAAATGAAGGGCTACTTTTAAAAAGCATGTGTAAGGTATAATAAACAGCAGATAAATTGGTATCTATAGGCCCATGTCCTCACTAACAGGAGATTCAACAGGCAGGCTATTTCCATGATGAGTATGGAGTGAATTCCTGAAATTACAATTTGCAATCAACACTTCCCAAAGGAAAAAAGAACAAAGCCAACTTGGAAAAACGGAATAATACATATAAAGAAACTTCTTATGCGTCGATACCCAGTGTTTCTTTTCAAAAATCAAATTGTATTTGTCTTGTCAGATTTTTAAAATAGGATATGAGAGTGTTTTCTAGTGGCAAAATTAATATTTTGCTAAATGCTCAGTGTCTGATTCTTGAAGTGCTTATGTCAAGCAGGATAGTGTTTCCCAGAATGTGGTTCAGATCAGGGCCATTTGATCAGAGTCACTGAAGTTGGCAAACTTTTTCTGTAAAGGGCCAGATAATAAATATTTTTAGGTTTTGCCGTACAGTTTCTGTTGCAGCAGCTCACCTCTACCGACTGTTGTAGTATGAAAGCAGCCAGAGATGATTCATAAATGAATGTGACAGTGTGCCAATAAAACTTTATGTACACAAAACGGTGTGTGCTGAATATGGCTTACAGACCATAGTTTGTGAACATCCATCTTAAAGTAGTGTTTTCCTTTTTTTTTTTTGACTGAAACCCACAGTAAAAAATATAGAAGACGTGAAATCTTGCACGCTTGCGCACACAAAAAGTTTTTGCAAAACCTACCTTGCCCTTTGTACTGGGAGCGCACTCTGCTACTTTCTTTTCTCCTCTCTTCTAGTTAATTTTATTTTTATTTTTATTTTTTAGTTTATTTTAAATGCTAGCCCTGACCATAGGACTGATCCATCACCTGTAGCTCATTGCCTGTTGAAATGCAGATTCCCGTTGCTCTGACAGTATCAGCTTTTTACCAAGGATATTGGAGAGTGGGCCCAAACATCTACAGTTTCTCTTTTAAAAAGATCCCCAGCAGATTCTTGTGCACACCACTTTGAAAAGCTCCGATCCGATGTATCAGATGGAACTGTACACCTGAACCACAATTTAAATTATGCCAATGATTGTTTTCTGTAAAGCATTCCTGTGTTCTTTCTTTCTTTCTTTTTTTTCATTCCTGTGTTTTCAAAGGAGGCTCTCATTTTGGCTTGCTTCAACTTACGCATGATTTAGGCTTTGTTTGGTTTTTTTATCTTTTCCTCTTACTGCCACTTTTATTTTCCAATATCATGATAGAAGAAAAGAAAGAAGAAAGTAGAGTTCAGGCATTGTGGCATTTGTAGTCTGTGGGATCACTAATAGGCATACCGGAAGGATAAGTGATTGACACAGGGTTATTCTATAGGAGTATTTTGACCTTGTGTGTCTTTTGTTAGAATTGTGTTAAACACCCTTAATTGTGTTGTATGGGGATCCCTGGGTGGCGCAGCGGTTTGGCGCCTGCCTTTGGCCCAGGGCGCGATCCTGGAGACCCGGGATCGAATCCCACGTCGGGCTCCCGGTGCATGGAGCCTGCTTCTCCCTCTGCCTGTGTCTCTGCCTCTCTCTCTCTCTCTCTGTGACTATCGTAAATAAATAAATAAAAAACCTTTTAAAAAAATTGTGTTGTATGATTAAATATTTCGTTCGCTCGGTTGGTGAGGGACTCTAAGTTATTTTCCTTCCTCTGATGGGCATGTTCTAGTGTCTTGAATTGGACTCTATGCCTTTCTTAGCTTTACCTCTGGACGGAATGATATTAGATGCTAAATTCAATTTGGTGCAAGATAAGTGTTATTTCATTCAACTAATGAACATGGTTAATCTGCTGCGGACGGTCCCTCTAATTATAATGAGTTAAGTCTTTTACCAGGCTTAATATCATATGCTGTTTGCTCCAAGATTTTGACACTTCTCTAACTCTCTACTTTCAGGAATCTTTCTCACTCTTGCCCGAGATCTTGTGGCTGCTGCCTCTCGGTGCAGCATTAATTTCCTTTGTTTGCTGCAGTACAACATAGCTGGAATCAGATGTTCCTTAGAGGCTTCAAGTTCTGACATCTCCTTCCTTCCTTTTCTTCGATTAAAGTTGCATGGGGATGATAATGATGACTTGGAGAAAGAAGGAATTTCTTGGAGTTAGCAGGAATTCTGGAGGGAGCTGGAGCCAGCCTTGTCTGTAAGACAGATTAACTGGCCTCCTTCCTACCCTTTCACCCAGGGCTGTTTTCCATTCCGGAATGATCCTGAAGCCGGCCAAGACCTGTCCCAGGCTGTGTGGATGGGGCACTGGGCGCACGGCAATTCCAATTAGCGGTCTAATTTTGACTTGGCTTCTGGCCAGAGGGCTTCATCTCACAGCACATTTCAAACACCGGAGCGAATGGTCAAGTGGGTTACCGTGCACTTATCTTGGCCTACCCCTGAGGTTACGGTCAATTACGTTTGAGGGTCGTTTTCAAGCAAGACAGAATCAGGAATTGGAATGGAGGTTGGAACCAAACATGCATTTTTATACCGACTGGGAAATGCTTATCAAAATAGTTCTTAGTTATCAAGTCAGCACAAAGTGCCTGGAAATGACGTTCCCAGTGAGGGGAAATGGCCCAGCTGTGCTTTTTTTGGCTTTCTCTCATCTGCTCAACAGGAAAAATATTAATCAATGGAAAAAAACGCTCTCTTTCTGTTAATTTAACACATGAGTTTTAGATCGTGTGGGAAATAGTAATACCTCATGTTTTCACATCACAGTTTTATTGCGTGGATTGCACGGGCCTTTCTAGAAAATGATTCTTACTTAAGCCACACGTTTGCACCCACGGAGATGTTTTATTTTCTCGATGGTCCAGCAGAAAGTCTGAGCTGGAGAAACGTCCCAGCGCCGGCTGCCCTCTCACAGTAATTGAGTGGAATGGTGAGGGAAGAGGTCTGGTGACCCTTGTGACTTGCCATTAGGCAACACCTTTTTTCCCCATCAACAAGGAAGCAATTCACAATAAAGTATTTTCTCATAAAACAAATTAGCAACGCTTCTCCAAGGAGATAAAGACTCTCCAGGCCAGGAGTCCCGTAACTGGGATTTCCACCTTTCCCTACCCACTCTTTGGACTTGTCTTGAAGGACGAGTTGCGTGCAATGCGATGCACACTTCCGAAGGGTCCAGCCGGATGCATCTAACCTAAGTGAGCCCCCCCACCTAACCGGCTCCATGCCTCTTTTCAAGGTGATGAGGCTTCGCAAACTGGCTCAGCAGATTGCAAACTGCAAGCAGTGCATCGAGCGGTCGGCATCCCTCATCTCCCAGGCGGAACACTCTCTGAAGGAGAATGATCATGCGCGCTTCCTACAGACGGCTAAGAACATCACCGAGAGGTGAGTGCGGGGGGCTGCTGGCAACTTCTCAGCTGCCGGGGCTCCGGTGTCTGGGGATGGGGAGTGATCAGTTGGCCTTGCCCTCGCCTTGCTTTTTGTTTTCATTTTCGAGGCTGAGTACCAGGAGAATAGAGGCTTTGAGTTGCTTTGTTCCAGCCAAAGATGCTTCCCTTTGACATGTCAAAGCCTTTTCAGTAGCACCCTGGAGTTCAAGGCCTTTGCAACAAGAGTCCACCAGTTAGAAAGAATAAAATCAGCCTTTGCTTTTGCGGGGGCAGAAAGCTCACCGTGGCACAAAAACAGCATTTATTGTGACTCCCAGACCTGATCTTATCGTACATTTGATAACAAAGAGTCAAAATGAAGGCAGACACATAAAAGGGAATCTTTTCTTCCATCTCAGGGCTCATCTATTAAAGAGAGAGAGAGAAAAGCAAACGCCCAGGTGTTGTTCTGTGTTAGACCTGTTTTTATTTGGTGGAGAAACTTCGCCTCGTCAGAAAGGTCAAAGCTGACTCATGTGGGAGAGAAAGGACCCAACTGTCAATCTCCTACCTCTTTCTCTTAAAGTGTCCTTGATTCTAGGGCAGGGAACATAAAGATGCCATTATTTGAATGGTCAGTTCAGCAGTAAAACTGGTGGGACTCGGGACTCCTTCCCTTCACATCTTTGATTGGCATAAAATCACTCACCTTCACTGCTGACAAGGCCTACGGCAGTTGTAGTAAAGCCAGAGCACCTGACGCCACCTAAGTGATCCCTCCAACCCATGACAATGCCCTTGACTTTTCATTCATTTTAATTTTCAGAGTCACTTGCCCCTTATGCAAAGCAATAATGGAATCCCCTCGCCAGACCACCCCAGCCTGTTCATGCATGCTGGTCTTCATCCTAGAGCAGAAGTCTGCAGACTTCTATAAGGGACCAGAGATGAAATATTTTCCAGGCCTGTGGGTTATAAGGGCCTCCTTCAGGATGACTCAGCTCTACCGTGATAGCTCCATAGCAGCCTATCATAGACAAAACGGCAACAAACAGGTGTGGCTGTGCTTCTAAAAACACTTCCCCAAACGGGTGTTTGGCCCTCTGACTGTCTTTTGCCAACCCCTGGCCCAGGGGGGAAAATACCCACCATCTTATGGCTTGAATTCCTTCAAGGAAAGAGAAAGCAAAGTAACCTTACTTGATTGCGTGTTTGCGTTGGAAACCGCATGAATTCTCAAAATATCACTTAAAGGTAGGCATTGATATTTCTCTTTTCAGGGTTCTTTCCATTAGAGAAACGTACAATGGTTTTACAACTCTGGTTTTGTATCGAACCAGCTTCGTTGTGCTATTTCTTATATTTGAGAAAGAATTCTCCTGCGACTGGTAGTGATACTTAATCTCTTCCAAAGCACATGGCTAATGTGACTGGTTATCATCCCTTTTATATCCTTAAAATGATCGCCTCCCTACTCTTAGGAGAAGCCAGTGTCTTTCCTCATGCCTCTTCGGTTCTGAGTGTTTAATTGTCTTCACAGCTCTCCCCTGGACTCTATCCAGTTGCTTTATGTTCATCCTAAGGTTAAGCACGGCAAATAGCATTAATACTCCAGTGTAGGGATCCGTGGGTGGCGCAGCGGTTTGGCACCTGCCTTTGGCCCAGGGCGCGATCCTGGAGACCCGGGATCGAATCCCACGTCGGGCTCCTGGTGCATGGAGCCTGCTTCTCCCTCTGCCTATATCTCTGCCTCTCTCTCTGTGTGTGTGACTATAAATAAATAAAAATTAAAAAAAAATACTCCAGTGTACCTAGGACACTCTACTAGACAGTGTTTACACTTACGTCATGGTTTCTAACTGGGATCCAAGAGTGCTTTTCTCTGGCTATAAATCATGAGATGTCCAAATGAAATGGCTACTCTGAGCTGCATTTCTCAGCAATCCCCCAAAATTTGATCAAGTGTAATAATAATACACTCTCACCTACGGAGAGGAGAGAATGTGGCACCATAACAGTTAAGATAGAACATTCTGAAAGAAGACCTACCTTTGAAGCATAGCATAAGTGCATGAATGTCCACATGTGATCTCCCACAGATCCAGCAGGTCATAACCGGTCCCGTTCACCTCTACCTGCAACAAGCCCATCTCTTCAAGGATGGAAACGTGCTTTTGATTTTTCTTTCTACAGATGAATTGTATAATACAGTTGACCCTTGAACAGCATGGGTTTGAACTGCTCAGGTCCACTTATACATGGATTTTTTTTTAAAAAATACAGTACAATACTGTAAATGTATTTTCTCAATAACATTTTCTATAATAATGTTTCTTAATATTTTCTTCTCTCTAGCTTACTTTATTGTAAGAATGCAGAGTATAATACATATAACATACAAAAGATGTGTCAGCGGACTCTATGTCACCAGTCAGACTTCTGGCCATCAGTAGGTTCTTGGTACTTAAGTTTCGGGGAGCCAAAAGTCCTACGTGGATTTTCCACTGGGTGGGGAGGCAGTGCCCCTAATCTCTATATTGTTCAAGGGTCAACTGTATATACCATATTCTCAAGCCTCACTATAGTTCTTAGTGTAGTTGTGCTTTTTTATAAAATCATTTTTTTAAAGATTTTTATGTATTTATTCATGAGAGACACACAGAGAGAGGCAGAGACACAGGCAGAGAGAGGAGCAGGCTCCATGCAAAGGGCCCGATGTGGGACTCGATCCTGGGACTCCAGGATCACGCCCTGGGCCGAAGGGAGGTGCTCAACCGCTGAGCCACCCGGGCGTCCCTAAAATGATTTTAAATAAGCAAAACTATTCACTAAATCCAGGCATAAGAAAGTTGGCCTCCTGCTTATGAGAAGGCTAAACTTCCATCAAGTTTGAAGACGTAGGGCGTATAAACATTTGCCAAGAGTCTTTTCCCTCTGTTTCTGCAGCCCCTCTCTTCCCATCTCTATCGTGTCAATCCTCTTGGTCAATTCCTGAGCCTTTCTCTCTTTACAGGACTGGAATGTAGTGAAAAGGCAGGGAGCTTGGACTAGGACCTGGGAGACTCAGGTTCTGGTCCCAGCACTGCCACTTTTTAACTATAATCCTTTGGGTTTAGCCATGAGCTGTTTTCTGCATAGAATATTGGGCTCATAGGGACCCCTGGGTTGTCTCAGTCGGTTAAGCATCTGACTTGGCTTGGGTCATGATCTCAGGGTCCTGGGATTGAGCCTCACGTCGGACTCCATGCTCAGCAGGGAGTCTGCTTCTTCCTCTGTCTCTGCCCCTCCTCCCGCTCTCTCAAATAAATAAAATCTTTTTTTTAAAAAAAAAAAGAAAATTGGGCCTCATAGTAGCTGCTTCTGTCAGTAGTTGTAATAATATTGCTGAGGACTCCTAAGAACAGGCCTTTGGCATCATAGATACTCCGTCACAGCACTTGGATATAATTTCTCATGATACTCCGTCACAGCACATGGATATAATTTCTCAGTAGTTGTGATAATATTGCTGAGGACTCCTAAGAACAGGCCTTTCTCATCATAGATACTCCATCACAGCACTTGGATATAATTTCTCATTGGATATAATTTCTCATTTCTTAGTATGTCAGTATGGCCCCACCGTGTATGTCTGTCCTGGGGCTGGTCTCTGCCTGTCTCTACTCTTCAATCCTTTACTTAGTAAATAAACATTCTTCTCTAGGATGTGACTTTATAATTCTCTGCCTCCTATTGTATCTGCCTTGGGCTTTGGCACCTGTATACTTCTAAACCATCTTTATCCTTGTATTCAAGGGTGGAAAGCCCGAAACAAAGTTTTAATCCTGCAAGGCTTCTTGAAATGAGACTTGGGTGAGATTTTTCTGCATCTTTAAATTGCTTGAAGTAGATATATTCACCTAAAGGCTGAATCACCCGCAATAAGGTTTTCACAAAAAAACAAAACAAAACAAAACAAAAAAACAAAAACAAACACCGAAGAAGAGAGACTGCAAGCTTTACATTATGAGATGCATATGCTTCAGAATCAAGTGTCTGGCTCTGTGCTAACTGCTTAGCAGTAATTATGGATGATATTGGGGCAGCTCCTTTAACACTTGAGTCTAATTTTGCTTGTATGCTCCTAGTAGGCAGCAGACCCCCAGCCACCTTGTTTTCCCCATTATAGCCCCAGCACATAGCAATCTGTCTGACACAAGTGAATGAGTGACCATATTGTAAAACAGGTCGATTATTCTTACCTAATATGGTTATTATAGGGACAAAATGAAATAATAGAGTAAAACTCTTATTCTGGTCCCTGTCCCAAAGTGATCAGGCAACAAATGCTAATTCCCTTCCCTCCCACTCACTAAACTGATGCAAATGGATTGTATAACATACCACACTCTCAAGCCACACTAGTATATAAGTCTCCTGTGTGATTGTACAGTCATCTTTACAAAATTACATTAAGTAAGCAAAACTCTTCACTAAATTGAAGCATAAGAAAGTTGGTCTACTTCTTATATCTGAAATTAAAATCACTTTTAGCAGCAAATTATCAAGAGGATGATGAAAAGAAACGTCCCTCCTAATGGTACCCATTTCTCAGAGCTCCTAGGAGGGTGTCCCGACTCCACAAAGTGACCCTTTTGTCCTTCAACACCATAAGCAGTTCAAGGATCTATCAGACTTACCCAGACTATAAAGCCAAGAGCTCTGGTTGTCAACGTTGGAAAAATGTCACTTGATTTGAAGAATTCAAGCACACATGATGAGTGGTTTTTGAAGTGTGTTCTGGTAGGGTGTTAATTGGTGTTAAAACAACAACAAAGTTCCAGAGCCAAGTGCATTTGGGAAATCCTGAGCAGACCAAAGTAAACCACATTTTGTTGCTGGGAGACCTCACTGAGTTTTACCACGGTGATTTGCCCACTTGCCCAAGAAAGACCCACTTAAGTGCCATTGTCAGGGGTCTGGCATGGGGGTGATATTAGGCGGGAAGAGTAAAGCATCTTCCCCTGGCATTGACTGTTTGACAGAAATCCTGTGAACAGTGTAGCTCCAGACACTTCCACCTTCTGGAAAACAGGCCCCATGTGGCTCTTAGCAAACAGAGTGTCTTGGAGATTAGGAGCATCGAAGTCAAGATCAAAATAAGAAGTGATGTGCAGCTCACCCCCTGAAGCATCAAGATAGGACACAATGTCCTTATTTGCTGCCACATGCTAAGAGCTTAACACACACCTACAAGCATATACACAGCCGCGCACACACACACACACACACACACACACACAACTATGAAAGCATGGAATTGCACAAGTGGCATAATACTGATGGCCCCGGTGGATTTTGGCAATGCATCTGAAAGGCCAGAAGATGGGCAACAAGGATTTGGGGAATAAAAACATGGCCTAAAATGTTGAATTTGGCAGATCTCCCCTCTCCTGTCACTCCAATTAAGAATTTGAAATTATAGCCAAAGATAAATATCTTTCCATCAGAAAATGTGTAGGTGTTAAAAGCTGCAGTCATCTGCATAGATTCTTGCTGTCAGCCTTTGCCTCCCAGGCTCAGGGGCTTTCAGCCTTTCTCTTTCCACTCCGCAAAGGGACCCCCATCAAGGTGGCAGGCATTTTTAACACTGTCACTGGCCTGATGCACGGTTTAGTTAACTGTGGACCATAGAATGGGGAGAAACTTGGGAGTGAGATCTATTTTGGATGAGCCCAAACAGAAGCTTTTGCCACTGGCCCGGGAAAGTGCTGAAGTGAGATTATCTATTCAGAGCCCAAGATCTGTGCCATGCAAGATGGGCAGACAAATGCAATAGAAAGACGCTGGTTTCTCAGTAGCTCAGTGCGCTTCTCCATGCTGGACATCGTGAGACATTCTAATTGGGGTTTCACTCTGAAATTTTTATTTGAGGAGGACACATGGGCACAGCAGTGTTTCTTTTAACTTATCTGCACTGATGCAAATATTTCAGGCTCTTCAGTACCTGGCACACTTTAAGAGCTTAGTATATAGATTTGTTGAGTAGTCCTGGGATCACTCAGAGTTTTGAGGAGTTTTTGCGATTCTGGGGCATAAGGAAAGCATTTCTGTAAGTACACTTTGACCACCTGTGAAAAATGCCTAGCAACCATTTAATTAGCGGGTGTTCGTCACAATAATTGGCCCACCCCCCTCGGGTGCGCTCTTTAGCCAACAAGATCCCACAACTCTGCTATTCACTGTTTCTTGGTGAAGGAGTTAGGTGGTGAATTTAGATTCTCCACTCTCATTCAAACACTTGAAAGTTTTCTTTCCCGAATTCATGCCTCTTCAAACTTTTCATCCATCGATCCCAACATCATCCCGATTATTACATTGTCAATTATCCTGTCTACTCCCCTCCATCTACACAACTGAACATGAACCAGAAGGGCAATTATAGAAATCTTATTTCTAAGGATTTTGAGCACTTTGCAGGTATAACTTTTATTGAGGTGAATTTCGGCTAACATAAAATTAACCATTTTAATGGGTGCAATTCAGTGGCATTTAGTACATTCACAGTGTTGTGCAATTACTACCTCTGTCGAGTTCTGAAATCTTTTTATTACCCCCCGAGAAACTCCATACCCATTACATAGTCATCGTCCATTGCCTCCTCCCCGCTCCCCCCACCAGCCCCTGGCAACCACTAATCTGCTGAGTCTCTATGAATTCACCTATTCTGGAAATTTCATACAAATGGATGATACAATACATGGCCTTTTGCATCGAGCTTCTTTCACTTAGCGTAACACTTTCAAGGTTCATCCACACACTGTAGCGTGTATTAGTACATCACTCCTTTCTACGGATGAATGATATTCCATTGTATGGATAGACCCACAAGTATAATTTTGATAACCAAAGAAGTATATTATATTTATAAAATACAAAGTTTTAAGAGCCATTAAGAGATCATGTCTCCTTAGGTAACCAGGTTGAATTTTTTTCTAAATTAAATGGAAGAATGTAGACCTAGAATTGTCCTGGCTGCTGCCAGCTGGCTTTGTGACCTTGTATAAATGAGCATCAAGACTCTTGATTAGAAAATAAGTAACTAGATTTAGGGCTGAGCCATTTCAGAGTGTTTCTTTGCTCAGAAATTCCCATACGGTACTTAGTACCATATACAGAATTAGGTCCGTGGTGGTATTTACCAAACTTCATGAAATACCCAAATCAACAAGATTACAGGGCTGGCATGGTCTGATATGCTCAGACGTGGTTCACATCATGCCACAATTGTATTGTTTTTCAGAAAATCACTTGCGTTTTTTAATTAGTCCAAACGTTCTGCTATTAGTAACTGAACTTTGCAAATCAACTTGAGAGCTTCACACACACCTAGCAGGAGATTCCCTCATAGCAGGAGAGTCATATTAACCAATATGTTGCTTTATAGTGTATAAATCAGAGCTCTACCTAGCAACCCTAAATGAAGAGGGAAAATGGTGCATCCGTTGGAAGAATTTGCAAGAAAGCTCATGAATATTTTCCATGGCATCTGCTGGGAATATGGTGAAAAAAAAAAAAAAAGAATACAAGGAGAACGAAACGAGCCAGACAAAAAACTCCTTTTTTTATGTTTATTTTAGAGAGAGGCTAGTAATTGATTAAACTAATCCAATATCTGGAAACATTCTTTTTTAATCTTCACTTTGCCTTTTATGCAGTTTGAAATTTTGGAGAGTCCTCTTTGAAGTGGAGCAGGGTCGAGTCTGAAAGGAACAAACAGTTTCCCAGACAGATGTGTGAAGAAATGCCTGGAGCTATGTGCTTCTCGCCGGGGTTAGATGTGAAGGGGCCAGGCTGTTAAATACACAGCAACATGAAATATGAATATTCTTTCACCTCCGTCAGGAATTTTTTTCCAGCAGTAAAAAGGAAGCGGGGGTTTGGGGGGAGCCATTCTACTGGTCACCCAATTCTTTGGCCTTGTCTTTAAGCTTGCATTCATTTGCGTTGTCGCTGTGTGGTGCCATCCCAAAGTTCTTTTTGAGGCTCATGTGTAAAAACGGCACTATTTAAAAATTATGCTTCTTTTCCTTTTATTTTTTTCATTCCTGTGCAGCGACAGTGAAAGCCATCTTGACGTTTCTAAAAAGTTGTTTTGTTTAAATTACAGAGTCTCCATGGCAACTGCATCATCCCAGGTCCTAATTCCTGAAATCAACCTCAATGACACATTTGACACCTTTGCCTTAGATTTTTCCCGAGAGAAGAAATTGCTAGAATGTCTGGATTACCTTACAGGTATTGTCGTGTGTGTGTGTGTGTGTGTGTGTGTGTGTGTTTTCTAACATTGTGTACATTCGATGATATGCATACTTTGCCACCACATCCATTCCCTAAAAACCAGAGATGTGGGCTTCTGATTTAAGAATGGTGTCTGATATTCCCATAAACGATTTCTGGCACTCTTCGTTTTTTTTTTTCCCACCCAAAACAATACAATTCAAGACCAAACTAGGGACAAAGGAAAAAGGAGAATCTCGGTAATTAAAAACATACTTCCTACCATCTTCCCTCCCTCTCAGAGTGTGGGTGCCACAAATAGTAGCTCTGCTGGTCATCAGAGAGATACATAAGGTAGCATGGCTGTTTTCCACTTCATCTCAGCAAGGCAGCTGACTTTCACAGTGTCCTGGCAGAGAAAGAATTGGCAGCTAACTCCGATGGGGCGTCTACCCTGCTTCAGCTCTTGGTATCTGAGACCTTGTGTAAGCCTCACACCATCAAACTGAGGTAACCTGTTATGACCCCCACTTTGCAAATGACGGAGGTCACCCGTCTTACTGGAGGTCAGGTAGCTAGGGAATGGCTGAATTAGGATTTGGCTTGGGTCCATACAGACTCCAAAGACCCCTTGCTCTTTCTAGTGAAAGATCATGCTTCATCTTGGCAGAGGTCACCATGGCAAACATCCCAAAAATCACATGCGAATTCCTGGTGCCATGTTTCTGATAGGCATTTTGATGGTCAAGCTCAAAAAACAAAAGCAACAGCGATAAAAGAGAACCTCAGGCTGCTCCTATTCCTAACCAGGCTCCCAGATTTTTCTTTGCTGTCTACCTCTAGAGCGAGAATTGAAATCATTCGCTGTTAGAATGTGGACTGTTTTGGTGACCTTTATTTGTGTTAACCAAAGCTACCGGTGCCTATGACTTCAGGAAGGCTCCGTATATACAGTGAAGCCAGATGTGCAGCGAACTTAGGACATGCAGCCTTCAAGAGATCACATCCCTAACTTAGCATGGCATCAGCTTCTCGACTCCAATTGTGTATGTGCATGTTTGTGGAACAGTGGTTGGAAAAGGTAGAGCAGGAGAAAGGGAACATTGTGGTGTTTGTTTTTACAGTCTGTGGATCAAAAGTAAGGAGTTTTATATCCAAGGGGCATTGTAGCCAGGTAGGTTTTTCCTTCGCAAGAATCCAAGGTGCCGCTTGTAGCTTTTCTGCATTTGCAAGGGAAACGGTCATCCCACAAACTTGTGTCATCCTCACAGACCATGTTAAGGAAGAAAGCAGCTGACTCAGAAATGCATTTGCAGTAAGGAAACAAACTCGATTTCAAATATTTATTGATACACTGCCCTCCTTTTTGAAGCTTTTAACTCTGAGATCTGCCTAAACTAACCCTACCCTATAGAACCTTCCAGAATGATAGAAGCTTTCTGTGTCTGCACTGTCCACTATGGTAGCTGCTAAGTACATGGGGCTATCAGAAACTTGCAATGTACATAGTGAGTTTTTCCTTTTATTTCACCTTAATTAACTTAATTGAAATTTTACAAGCTACATGTAGCTTGTGGCTACTGTATTAGACGGCGCAGGTCTAGACTTTCTCTGGCTGAGCTGCTCTTCATCATGGCATCCTATGAAAAATCTATTTTTTTTCTTATATCATTTGGGATTGAATATGATTGCAACAACAGAAAATTCAGTTAGCAGTGACTAAACCCATCAAGGAGGGTTTGTATCATGCAAACATGAGAACGGAGGTATGTGTTCCAGGGCTGGGCAGCGGCTCAGTGATGATCTCAGACTCCAGGCTCTTGCTCTTTTTCTGCTCTTCCCTCTTCACTCTGTTGCCTTTTTTACCACAAGATCACAGCACCACTACCCCACCTCCATGCATCATGCTCAAGTTACAGGTAAAAAGAGAGGGATGCCGGGGAAACTGTGACAAAAATCTGCCAGCCAACTTTTGTCTTTGTGTATTAGCAAAGCAAAAAGCTTGCTCAGAAGACCCATCTAGCAGACTCTCACTTGTGTCTTATGGGTCGGATCCATGTCACAAGGTCATGCCCAAGAACAAAGAAAACCGAAAACCTATTGGGCGGGGCACATGGCCTTTCTGCACAAAATCAGTGTCTTGTTGACCTGAGGGTGTCCTCCGCATTTCCCAATCATCGTTTAATGGTGTTCCAGCGGGCACACATTCATAGGCTATGTCTCTATGCAAATGCCAAAGCAGTGATTAAAGGAGAAAGTATGAAAGTAGTTGCACTGACTGGTACCACATACGCCATATATCATCCCGATGGCTGTTTATGCCAAGCTAAGACCACATGGGGTACCTGCCATTATGCCTTCTTAACCGTCAACCTCAAATACAAATCTGGCCCATTTGTAGACATAACATCGATCCTGGCCATAACATATGATGCTTGGCTGATATTGCCAAGTCCAAATAGTTTATCAGACATTTGTAAGCAGGAAATGAAGTGTTTGTGGAATATTAGCCCACCATTTCTCAAGTCCTGTTTATGACAGAGGCAAGAAAATAGCAGTGCTGCCACCAATATTCCATGAATATTGAAATTGGCAACGTGCTGCTATTCTCATTTACGGTAAATTGGGTATTGACTTTTCAGGACAAACCCATTGGGCTTCTAATCAAAACAGGGTTAGCCTGCGTGGCTGTGAAAACAAGATTTTTTTCTCCTGTGACATGCCTCTAAGTGGTATGTCAAGTTAATAACCCAGAGAGGTGACATTTCCTCCCTGATCACAGCTACTGCCATGTGTCTCACAGCTCCTTGCTTATTTTGAACATAAGTTTTCTTTCTATATGATCATATATTGCAATGCAAAAAGAACAAAATCTTTCTTCAGTGGTTGATGGAAAAGTAATTCAATGAACTATTTAGATTATGGGAGAATAAGCATCTCTCCACTGATCCCTGCCGGTGATCCCACACCAACAGGGACCACACGGAACAATAATAAGCACGTTTTATGGTGCAGCTGGGCCTCCCCCGCAGAATGCATCTCTGGATTGGTGTCGCTGATTCATGCACATCCAAGTCACAGCACATGACACTAAATCTTGCATGTGGATACTTCAGGAGACAGATGTATAAATACATACTCCAAGAAGAATGCTTAAGGGGCTCTGTAGAGCCTTTCTATCTTAATACACGACTTAATGCAGTGCCTGCCAAGTGTAGGTGCTCGGTAATGTTTGTGGAATTCAGTAACCAAGAGACAGAGCTGGTCTAACTGACTTTGTACAACAAACATAAAAGTTACTTAGTCTGTATGATATTTGTCCTGGACATCTCTTCAGGTGGCAAAATGAAGAAGACTAAAACAATTAGAGTTTTAAATTTACCATGTTTATGAACTTTTCTTCTTCTTTGGGTTTGTTTAGGACTCCTCAATCCTAATCAAAGTGTAAAGCAGGAAAGAACTCCGCAATAAGTGTGAACAGAGGTTGCAACAAATCTATAGAATCCAGATATGTTTCTCCTTTTGAAGTTAGGTTCTAGGACACAGAAGAGTGGAAATAAAGGCCTGGATCAATTCTCTCAACCAGGGGTTGGCAAACTTTGACTATAAAGGGCCAGATGGTAAATATTTTAGGCTTTGCAGGACATATGGTCCCAACTACTCAACTTCACTAGTGCACAAAAACGGCCACAGACAATACATAAATGAATTAGCCTGGCTGTGTTCCAATAAAACTTTATTTACAAAAACAGGCAGTGGGCCAGATTTGGCCCATAGCCATGGTTTGCCAACCCTTGCTCTAAAATATTATTGCCAGTGCAAAACACTCACTGCCTAGTCTTTTTCTTACCCACAAACTCTTCTCATAAAACCAGTTACTGAAATCAAGCCGGTAGCCTTTGAAACAACGTCAAATCATTATTTTGGTAGGATTTAGACTTCTCTACTCCAGACTATGTTCAAGACATAAAACAACAGCCTTCTCCAGTGATAAAGTTAACCAAATGCCAACGATCCAGGTTTTCTTTGGGGAAGGAAAATGTACTTCTTAGATATGATTGATTGTTAATCGTGTTTTTCTGGATTCGAAATATCACCTATAAATTGAAAAGGGAGAATAAATAGGGCTACACTAATACGGTTTTTATTTTATAAAGCATCAAAACATCTAATGAAAGAAAATTTTTCAAACAATTATTTGGCAGGTTGTTATAGGATAACAAACATCAGTATTTTTCCAATTCGGTGTGTAAATACAAAAATACGTGACTTCACAAAGCTCAGAGGCTGGCAAACTTTGGCTCGTAGCCCGAATCTAGCCCTCACCTGTTTTTGCAAGTAAAGTTTTACTGGAACCTGCCCATGTCCATTTGAGTATGAATTGCCTATGACTGCTTTCATAGTGCAAAGGCAGAGCTGAGTAGTTGCAACAGAGACCGTGTGGCCCACAAAGCATAAAATATTTACCCTCTAGCCCTTTACTGGAAAAGTCTGCCATTTCCCCAGTGTGGATGAAATTACAAGAGTTCATCTTGTTTGCTTTTTGTTTAACATGTTTTTCCCTGTGGATAAGAGTATTATTTGCTTAACCTCCTAAACGTACTTTCATGATAAACAGAGAGAAGTCTTTACTGGCTGGCCGAAGTCATGTACGCTACCTGTCAAAAATCACAGTAGCAACCAACCAACCAAACATTCTGCAGATTGGGGTCACCATCTCTAGGGTAGTGACCTGTTTAGAAAAGCCCACTTTGACTGTCACACATCTCCTCTGAAATGTATCCCAGAGGTGCCACTTCGCTGATGAGCATTCTTGATCCCCACAGCTCCCAACCCTCCCACAATTAGAGAAGAGCTCTGCACAGCTTCCTATGACACCATCACCGTTCATTGGACCTCCGATGATGAATTCAGCGTGGTTTCCTATGAGCTCCAATACACCATATTCACCGGACAAGCCAATGTTGTTAGTGAGTATTGCACACCCTGTTGATTTTTCTGTTTGGTCACTGTTTTCAGATAGATTGCATTTCTAAATTTAAGTATCAAGGGAAGACGGGGAAGGAAAGAATACACAGTATTTATTGGCTGCGTTTCCTAACCAAGAAGATGATAGCATTTGCTTGCTAGCAAAAATAGCTGGCCAAATAGTGATGAAAATTAGTGATCTCTAGCAAACCACATGAGTGAGTCTTACAAACATATGGTTAAGAGAAAGAAATAGGAAACAAAAGAATATATGTGGTATGAATCTTTTTATCCATTTGTAATTTAAAGATAAACTATTTTGTGGGGCACCTGGGTGGCTCAGTCAGTTAAGCTTTCAACTCTTGATTTTGGCTCAGGTCATGATCTCAGGGTTGTGAGACTGAGCCCCACGTGGAGCTCCATGCTCAATGGGGAGTCTGTTTAAGATTCTCTCTCCCTCTGCCCCTCCCATGTGCGCACGCTCTTTCTCTCAAATAAATAAATCTTTTTAAAAAAAGAAACTATTTTGTTTAGAGATGCATACATGAGTGTAAAAACTATAAATAAAAGAGAGGATAAAAAAAAAGAGAGAGGATAATGGTTACTTCCAGGATGGGAAGGGAGTGGCACCATTGGAAAGCAATATATGAGGGTTCATGGGGTTAACTACTTTCTGGGTGGGAAGTTACATGATTTAGCCATTATATCATACATATAGTATAATGTACTTTCCTGAGTGTTATTTCACAATGTAAAAAAAAATTTTAATAAAATGGATAGCCAAACAATGCCACATACCACCTCCCATTTGGAGGAGGGAAGGCCCATCATTTGAAATGTTAGTCATTGGCCCCTACCTGAGCAGAATCTCAGACCTTACTTGAAACACAGAGCCCTTCTCACTGGAGCCCATGAGGTATTTGGTATCAGAGAAAATTTGATGATCTCAGATAACCCCAGTTGTTGGCCAGAGAAGTGATAACAAAGGAATCTCTCCTCCCCACTGCCATGGTTATTTAAATTGAGTTGAGTAAATGGGAAAAGACCAGAAGAAGTAGCCTTTCAGGTTTGAAACTTCTTTAGGAAATTAAAATAGGACATGCCAAAGTAGAATAGAAGAGAATAGCAGGCACATTTCAACAAAGAAATGTTTTGAATAAATCCATATCTACTGAATGTGCTTTTATTATATACACATCTCCCTTAATCACACTGTTCTTTCCTAGCACAAGTAATTCTAAGCATGTGATGCTTAAAAAAGAAATTAGAGTTAGGATTAACTAAAAGAGTGATGCTCAAAGACCCCCCCACCTCCAAGTAAGTAAAGTACCAACAAATGGACCCCAAGCTTCCTTAGATCCTCATTTCCCAGGCTTCCCTCCTCAACTCTCTGATCTTCCACCTTCCACTCCCTAATTGGCTGCCTTGGAAGCTTTTATCAAAATCTTAACCATTTTCCAAGAATGGGTAAGGAGGAAAATCATGAGACATGGCGAACCACTACGGCCAGCTGCCTGAGTAAGAGGGCAGAGGTGGTAGGTGTAACAAAAACGTCTTGGGGGAAGGGATGGTGTAATTAAGTTTTGGAAGAGAATGGATACATATCAGCAAGTTAAGGGGATGCCAGACAGCCGCATCATTGGGGGCAAACCTATGCCAGACAGCCGCATCATTGGGGACAGAGTATGGCAAGACATTTTCTGAAACATCCTCTACTAAAGCCTGACTGAAGAATTGAGTGGAGAAGGGGAGATGGTGGGAAATGAAGATAGAGAAATAGAGCTAGGACTCAAACCCATATAGGTCTGGTTCCAGAAAGCACATGTCCTAAATCATCAGTCTATTCATCCTAACCCACAGTAAAGACCTAAACCAGAGAGGGCCACTTGGGCCACATGGTGTTGGGTTTTTCCCTGTGGCCTTGGGTGTCATGCAGAGCAGCAGTGCGATCAGATACACAGTTAGAAGCCTCAGTTAGTGCTGTGGGAGATGGAGCAGAACAGGGCAAAACTAGAAGCAGAAACATGAACTAGGAGGTTCATAGTAATTGACGGAAATAGAGATGGCCTGGACCTGCCAATGGCACTAGCACCAAAGAAGGCAAGGAGCAGATAATCCCAGAAAAACTTCTCCCCCACTGACCCATATCCCTGGGAAACACCATTACTACCTTCAGCTATTTGAAGTGCTCTGGGGGACAAGTCTAACCAGCACTGGTGTGTCCATGGTTTGGCATCATCTTGCTCTCCTTTCAGGATTTTGGATTCTTCTAGTATTGCTCCTCATCCCTTGTTCTACATGCCCTGCTACAAATCATGAAGAAGTACTAATTTCTCTAAAATCTTTCTTTTTAGTAAGTAATACACAAACACTATGTAATAATATATAAGATGTCTACAGTGACAATTGGATGCTTTTCAATATGGCAGCCACCCTGGTCCCAAAGTTGCCACCGCACCAATTCCATTTCACACGCATCTTTCCTGTGGTAGTCTGTTAATACACAAGGATGCACATACACTCACACACACCTAGAAATACACTTTTTAGGGACATAAAAGATAGGATGCTATACACAGTTCTTTACCTTGCTTTTTTCACCCAGAATAATCTCTCTTTTGATTAACTCAGAGACAACTGATTAAGGACCTTAATTGAATTTGCAAACTCCCTTAACCTATATGATGTACCACCACAGGAGTGATAACAATGATAAGACTTTTGTCCTTTGCCATATTGTTGGTTAGATGCAAGTCACAGGTCTTGCCTCACCCAAGGCAGAGGAATTACACAAAGTCATGAATACTGTGGAGTGAGAATCACAGGGGCTAGAGAAGGGCGTGTCTGCCATAGGTGGTTATGTCTTTCCTAAAGTGTCTTGAATCAAATTTTTATGGGCATTTGGACAGTCCGTAGAGCCTTGGTCTGGGCTGGCAGGCCCCATATCAATCGGCTTTTGCTGAATGGCCAACAACCACAGGACCTAAGTAGCATATAACAATAAACATGCATTGCTTATGCGTCTGGAATCAGGCGGGGGTGTGCTGGTGTCACTGACCGTGGTGAGGCTCTGTCACGGTCGGGCTGATGACTGGGGCTCCCATCTCCCTCCTGCAGTCCCATGCAGGCACATTCTCCTGGTGGGCAACACACGCCATAAGGACAGGCCCATTTGCACATGTAGGCCTGTCTTTGTCACATTAGCTGATGTGCCAGAGGCCAAAGCAAGTCCCACGGGTGAGCCCAGGATTGAAATGTGAGGGCCTGCGAGGTTCCCTGGCAGAGTGTGGATATGGCAAGGAGCAAGGAAGGGGAGCCAGAAGGCGATTCACTCTAGAACCCTGACTCAAACCCAGTGCTTCCCTCCATCCCCCAAATGAAAAGAGATCTATTGCTTGAAACTTAGGGTGTCTCAGGTAGCTGACCTGGGACTGACTTGGCTTCCATGCTGTTGGCTTGAAAAGTAATACTGAAACAATACATGTAAATGGAATAGATGAGAAAAGGCCACGACTACAGAAATCCACGGGCAGTGACACTCCTGAATTCGGAGCTCTATGCTTGGTGATTCCAGAGAAGGTGTTTTATTCTCCAAAAGCCATTGCCACAAGAAAATAAATGGGAATGACTTATTGAGGTGATAGACCTTGCTTATTTGATACACAGATGCCAAAAAGGCCATTCTTGGGGCACTGGGGTGGCTCAGTGGTTGAGTGTCTACCTTTTGCTCAGGTCGTGATCCTGGGGTCCTGGGATTGAGTCCCGCATTGAGCTCCCTGCAGGGAACCTGCTTCACCCTCTGCCTATGTCTCTGCCCCTCTCTGTATCTCTCATGAATAAATAAATAAAGTCTTTTTTAAAAAGGCCATTCTTCCCAGGACAGATGGAAATCAGGGAGACTGCAGGTGCTCGTCTGACTGGGGTGCCCTCATGGGCTTGTTAGTCTCTGTAATGCTCATTAAACCAGTAGAGTAAAGCCCTGAGGCCTACAGGATGAAGTCGTAACAATGAAAGAATAGATAAAAAGGTAATTGAGATGCAAAGATCTTGGCATGAAATTATTTTCTTCTTAACTATTATACATGTCTGTCATGGCCAAGAGAGACCTGGATTTGAATCCCCACTTTGGACCTCACTAGCTCCATAATTTGGGGCAAGTTCTTTAACATCCTCCGAATCTGTTCCCTCATCTGTAAAAAGAGGTAATGTTTTAACTTCAAGTGGTTGAGATAATAAGAGTATAAGCCTGAGCCCTGTGCTTGCAAGCACACAGATATTCAAAGTCATTACTCCTATGAAAATATGACTCTGTACTCACTCATCATTGCATTTTTTAAAAAGGCTGATGTTTTGGGTCATATGATAAAGGTTGGTCGTGACATTTGCCAGGATTATCAACACGAGAGTGTTTTACACAATCTTCATGTGCAAGACCTTCCCTGAACGTTGTTTGTCCATCTGTCGTACCATTCCGAGGAATCTCCTTTGCAGATGCTGTTACATCGAATGACAAGATCTAAGAGTAAAACTGTGGTGAAAATTAGAAGACCGAATACTCCAAAGCTGTCCAGAGCTCCTCGTGCCGCTAGGAATCCTCTCCTGCCTGTAGGTCATGGTGCCTTCACTTGTCACAATAAATTCAGGTTAATTGCCCACAACTGACTTCAGTGAAGGAGAATTAGATAATATCTGTGGAGCTTTTAATCTTATAAAAAGGCTCCCCCTAATCAAATTCATATATTCAAATGCAAAATTAATGTCACTATTAATTTTTTATTATGCATTTTTTATTAACAGACTTAGGCCCACAGATGTTAATGGATTGCTTATTAATCGATAGATCTGTATTTAATTTTTACAAATTTTTTTCATGTTTTTTTCCAAAACTACTTTCAGTGCACCGTTTAAAATCCTAAACGGGGCTTTTCCCCAGCAGCCTATTTTTAGTATTAGCAAAAGTCAAAAGATGCACTTCTTCCAGGTCTCCGTGGTGAAGTAGTTATCTGCATTTAATCATTTGTAGTTGTTTTGAAAAGCTTCGTGAAAGTTATTAAACAGACACAATTTTTACAGAGAAGAAGGAAAAGAATGTTCACTTCCGTCCAAGCTGTTAGAAGAGACAAAGGATTTTTGAAGCCGGGGTGCCGCCTCTCTGAAGGGGGGATCCGTGTTGCGTAATGTTTTATACATCATGTTTTACTGCGAGATGACAGTTGCTATACAAGGCTCTGAAATCCCAAATGTAATTAGGATCTTGTAATGAGCGGCATTATGTAGGGAGATGCTTCTGACCCATTGTGAATGAGAACAAAATGTAGAAAATTGAAAAACCCAATTAAGTTTCATTATGAACTAATTATCCTCCAAGTTCCATTGTTGTTTTAATACTTCAAGCCGAATTAGAGAAGGTGGGTGTTGGAATCCCCCCAAAGATGATTGAAAACGAATTTGGAGAAGAGTGAAGTTTCAGTCACGATGGTTACGTGGGTGTTTCATAAAGAGATGCATAAAACCTGGTCAACGGTCCCGACACAGTGGGGTATCGAGGCAGAGGGGTCTGGCACTTGGCACCATATGCAAGAAGTTATGTGGTGCTGGCGCAAGACCAACACTCGCAACGCAGTAACGGTGTACTAGTGAGGCGCCCCGCTTACTCCAGCCCCCAGAAGAAAGTGGTCGATGTTGCTTTCTTGGCATTTTTAATCAACTTCTCAATTATTATCCTGGCAATAATAACAGCAGAAAGGTAGGCCTCCACAGAAATAGTGAGCGTTCGCGAAAGCAGATTGTCCCAGTGTAAAGCTATCCAATCAACTTTTACTGCTCCGTAAACGTTTTGTTCTTTTAATATTCGAAGGGGAAAAAAAAATTAGCGACCCCTTCAACATAATCAGATAGTCAGGGTCCCTTTTCTGTTTGCAAAAAAGCGTTCTGAAACATTAAATCTTTTTTGTTGGGTTAAGGCTTTGGATTATAGGCCAAGTTGCTGTTTGTAGCAATTTCAGACATCTGCTTTATGATGTCGCTGAAAGCATTCCCCCGCCACATTAAGCCCAGCTTTTCGGTTGTACAGTGATGTAAAGTTTATTGAAACATTTTTACATTTGCTTTCTTTGACCACAATAGTCATTTTACTGCAACATATGCAATTAAACAGGAACAGTGTAAACGCAGTGACATTGATAGGGCTCTCATTTGATTCTACTGAATGCTGTTACTGTTTTCGTTCGTGCTTGACTGCTGTTGACAAAGCTCTAGGAACATGAGTGGATTATCCTGGGCAATAGAAAAGCTCACTGTTTTTGTTTTATTACTGTTGTAAGATTATGATTAAATATTTAAAGCGAGTTGCAGGCTTCTTGGGGGCCCAGAGCTCAGAGTTCAAAATGACCCTTCCTTGCTTAACTCAAGATCTATTATTTGGCTGTGGCACTATCCCGAAGCAGTGAGTTTATTGCAGCTATGATCAAGGACAGGGTAAGGGGGGAAAGTGTCAGAAGGGCTACGTAGCAAGGAGAATCCCATGTTACCGAACCACTCGTGGGTGTTTTCCTGGGTCCTACATGAGTGAGAATCAGAACAGTGAAGAGTTAGGAGAGAATTGGGGGTGGGGGTGGACGGTGGTGCCTCAGTTGTTCCATTGCATCTCAGGCCCAAGCATGCGTGCGCACACACACACACACACACACACACACACAGATTTCAACCGCTTCCATGGATCTCACATTCTTCCCTTGCTTTATGCTGGCTTTGTCAAATCCAGCGGTGCTCCTGGTGAAGTGACCGCAGGCGGAGACAAAAAGAGGTGATAGGAGACTCACAAGGTCAGACCTGACCTTACAAGTTTATATACATGTGGGAGTTTATAGATGCATGACTCACTGGAAGGTGTCTTAAAAGCCTCTGCGCCCGAGGTACAAATCATAGGAGGGGAAGTTTCACCCTTGACTAAATACTTTTAAGGTTCTTCTCAACGGTGAGACTACCATGGACAATGTTTACCTCAAAAGCTGGAGAAAGTATCTAGTAGGATTCAAAGACAGATGTCATGGGGCTGTGAATAGCTTGGAATGCCATGCAAATATTTGTGGCTTGGTATGGATATGCACATGTGACTTTGCTTCTATAGAAATGTTTTATTAGATTCTCAAAGAGGTGAGACCAAAGAAAGATGAAGGGACTGCTTCTTGGGATTACGGTAAGGTATAAGTTGCCTCCAGATCAAAAGAACGAACCCTTTGACTCGCAAATCCACTGAAAGGGAACGAGTGGGGGGAGTTGGGAGCCCCTCAGGAAGTGGAGGGGCTCAGCCCTCTACCAAGAGCTGGTGAAGGAAATTCACCAGAGTCAGGAAACTTCATGACAGCCAGTCACCAGGGGGCTGGGAAAAAGGTTCTCTTGGAGTGCAGATTGATGGGTGGAGAGAGGAGAGTTGGGCCCGATACCAAAGAGATGTTTTCAGCATCAGCCAGCTGCAAAACAAAACGGGCTTCCTTTCCCCTGCAAGTTCTTCCAAGCGTCGTAAATCCTCAGCCTGCCCCCCACCCCACATCCTGCAGAATGCAGCCCGAGCGAGCGAGCGAGCGGCAGCGCCGTGCTCTGGGCCCAGCCGAGCCCAGCCCGGGAGTACAGCTGCTCAGATCCCTGTGCGTGCTTTGCTGAGAGCTCCGCGGGGCCCCGAGCTGCCCGTAGGTGCCGCCGCTCCAGGCTTCTCTTAGGGACGGGACTCCCGAGTCAGTTGACTACGGCCACCCTCCTGCTGGCACGCAAGCACGCCTGACGATCATTCTCTTAGCTCCCCTGTCAGAGGTTGGGCCGGTCTCTGCTGGCCTCGCTCCTGCTCCTGCTCCTGCTCCTGCAGTGGTGGGGCTTAGAGCCCTGCCCTGGGCCTCTCCTGCGGAGACCACAGACTGTCCGGGGAATGTCCTCCCCGTGGCAGTGGCAGAGGCACGACAGGTCAACAGAAATCCTCCAGGCCTGGGGCGCCCGAGTGGTTCAGCGGTTGAACGTCTACCTTCGGCCCAGGGTGTGACCCCCGGGGTCCCAGGATCGAGTCCCGCATCGGGCTCCCCAAAGGGAGCCTGCTTCTCCCTCTGCCTGTGTCTTTGCCTCTGTCTCTGGGTCTCTAATGAATAAATAAATAACATCTTAAAACAAAATCCTGCAGGCCTTGTAATGCCCACTCTTGCAGCTGGCACTTTGCCACTTCAGCCTCATCCCAGCAGCCAAAGCAAATCACGGGGCCAAATCCGAAGCCACGTCATGGGGGACACGTCCCATCTCTGGAGGGAGTAACTGCAAAGTCACTCAGGCCCGGAGCTGGGCAGGGTGAAGAGTTAGAGACAAAACTGCAATCTACTACGTCTACATGAGTGGAGTCAACCTCTCAGGCGGGATTCAGGTCTCCTCTCACCTGCTGTGAGTCTCAAAATTGATGCGATTCCAATGTAACGATCGCTGTCGCAAGCGTGGGGTGAGAGTGCGGAGAGCGGGGTCAGCGGCGACTTCCTGCTTCCTTCTCCTCGCCACGGCCCCTGACAACGCAGCAGGCACACGTGCCACGCGCAGTGTACCAGACAGAACCACCTTCGCTGCTCCTATTTTTACCGAACAGAAGCTGCGATATAATCATTTTATTTTTTTAAGATTTTATTTATTTATTCATGAGAGACCCAGAGAGAGGGGCAGAGATACAAGCAGAGGGAGAAGCAGGCTCCCTACAGGGGGCCCGATGCGGAACTCGATCCTGGGACCCCAAGATCACGGCCTGGGCCGAAGGCAGATGCTCAACTGCTGAGCCACCCAGGTGCCCTGCGATATAATCATTTTAATTGGCTCTTCCATCCGGAGCACACGATAGGAGTGTATGATAACACATACGGGTTGGCAGGAGACTGCGCCGTCGAGCACCTCCGTGGTCCCCCTCAAGTGCAGAAGCGACAAGGCACTGCACTTGGGGGTCAGATGAGCTCAGCGTCTGCAGCCTTGGACGCCAAAGCCGTGCGCCGTGTCTGCTTGGCTCCGCAGGTCTGTGTAACTCTGCCGATAGCTGGATGATCGTGCCCAACATCAAGCAGAACCACTACACGGTCCACGGTCTGCAGAGCGGCACCAAGTACATCTTCATCGTCAAGGCCATCAACCAGGCGGGCAGCCGCAGCAGCGAGCCCGGAAAGCTAAAGACAAACAGTAAGTGCCGCGGGCTCAGCAGGCCTGTCACCTCCCTTCCACTCTCTTTTGGGCCACGTCTGTCCCCCCCTCCCTTCTTTTCCTTTTCTCTGCCTCCGGGCGTCAGCCACAGCCCCGAGATGCAAGCGGGGAGCCCCACGGGGTGGCGGAGCTTGCATCGGGAGCCACAACGCTCTCGACCCTTAAGGGCCGTGAGTCCATCGACCTCTCTGCGCTTCGGACGCTCGCTTTTAAAATAAATAATCCTGGAGGGGCTTCTCGTGAGAATCAGAACATCTGTCTGTCTAGCTGTATCTCTGTCTGTGCATCTGCACGTCTCTGTACTTATATACGAAGCCTGACATGTCGTTGGGGCTCTGCAAATGGCAGAGTGTTGCTTTCCATAGCAGACGAGCACATTGAGAACTCTTTTCCTCAGGAAGTCTTTACTACCCCAGGTAAGTGTCTGCGTCTGTGGTTCTCTGCCAGAAGCGATGCCGCCCCCACCCCCCTGCCCAGGGACACTGAGCAAGGCCTGGAGACATTTTTGGTTGTTACAAGTGGGGTGGATGCTACTGGTGTCTAGTGGTTAGAGGGCAGAGATGATGGGAAACATCCCGCACTACCAGGACGCAACGAAGAAAGATCTGGCCCGTGCATATGTCTTGCAAGACTGTCATCTCCCTCGCTGTCTCTGCCCACATGTGTTTTCTTTTATCCTCTCTTTTCTTTTCTTGACTATTTTTGATCTAGAAGTATGTTATAGAACAGGGAATTTCTTTGCATAGGACCTCCCAGGAGAAAGCAAATTGGAGTGTGTCGATAGGCCACCATGTCAGAGGGTTGCCAGCTAGTCAACGGGAACACTTAAGTGCTTTTCCAGAAGAGCCCTCACTTACCCCGGACCCTCGATTTCGGTGGTCAACTTTATTTGACCGCAGACATCCGTGTTTCAGACACATACTCTTAGACTTTTAAGCGAGTTTGTCCTTCAGCGTTTCTGCTGGCAAAGAAGAAAATGTTTTTAGAGACTAAGGAGGGAACAAATAAGTAAATACATACTCTGGGGTTAATTCTGGAGAATACATCTTTGAGACATCTTATTTGTGCTTCATCGGTTTTACTGAAGATGATGTATTCATTTCATGTAGACAGATAATGTCATCTTCTATTTCTAGACGTGCAGTTATTGAACAGATGTTATCAAGTTATACACGAGGAGTTGGCAAACTTTTTCTGCGTTTGTGCCAAATAGTAAATATTTGGGGCTGTGCATGTCAGATGGTCTTGGTCACCATCCACTCTTCCTCGCCTCCGCCACCGCAGTGCAAAAGCAGCCATAGATTACACATCACTGGATGGGCTTGACTGTGTTTCAATAAAACTTTATTGACAAACACAGGCAGTAGGCTGGTTTTGGCCTGCAGCCTCTAGTTTGCCCAACTCCTGTGCACACGATACTACAATGAATTGAGTTCTTCAGTAAAGTAACTGATGAGTTTGGCCCCTGAACCAATTTGTCCTCATTGAAGCAAAAGCCTTGAACTTAGAGCACATGATGGTTCATTCGAGAAACACATCTGAGGCACAGGTGGAATTTGCTCACTGAGCATGCAGCGGTTGGGCTGACATGATCCTGCTCCATGTGTGTATGGGTGAGGGTGTGAGTTGAGGTGACACAGGCCACGTCTCACCTCATTATGACGCCAGTCTTTCTGATGGCTATCCCATCCTGCTAGTCCTCACTGGAGGCAGGGTAGCAGCACACGGCCCTCCTTTTCAGCGATGGCTGCCCTTATGGAATTCCTCCCAGCCTGCCCACTAACGTCCACTTGTCTTCACCCACATTCTATCTTCTGCGTTTAACAATTGAAGTGTTTTAAGCAAAACTATCTTCAGATTCTTCTTGCCTCAGTTCATACTTTATCCCTAACAGCTGCTGGTGTGATCATTCCTGGGGACATTTTTGTTTGACAGGACAAGCTGAAATTTAAACTCTAAATTTAAATCCACCAGCTCTTAGGGCCTCTGAGAATGTCCGTGCTCTGATCCACGCTTGAAGCTTTTTCTCAGCTCCCCCTTTAAGCTTTTCTGCGACGTGGACAGAAATCGAAAACGGGTCAGCAGACTATACAGCCCACCAGCCAAATCTGGCTGCCAATTTTTAGAAATAAAGTTTTGTTGGCACCCAGCCACACCCATCCATTCACCTCTTGTCTCTGGCTGCTTCCCGGCTGCAGCATCAGAGTTAAGGAGCCACAGAAGAGACCACATGGCCAGCAGAGCTGAAAATACCTATCTGGCCTCTTATAATAGAATGTTCTGGCCCCTGATCTACAAGAAAGGATTTGAGAGATGCTTGTGTCATGTTGTATCCAGGTGGTGACTGGAAATCCTCTGGCCTACCCGCACAGGACATAACACAGGTTGCCCCATGCTCTCTGGGTCGGTTTCTCAGCCAGCGTCATGTATCACCCCAGCCAGTTTACCAGACTTTTCCACCCACTGCCCGAGGGTGGGTCTACCAACTGCACCAGTGGCTGGGGGCTTTGGGCATCATGGCATTTGCATCCTCTTGTCACTCATTTCCTGCCTTTTAACACCCATGTGATGTCGAATAACAGGCAGTCCTCTAGACCAGTGTTACGTTCTCACAGAAGTAACAGCTACGACAAGATGTTCAGGTGTGACTCTGCCAAGACTTAGTGGTTCAATCTTCAAAACACATATGTCAATGATGAAATAGAGAGGGCCTAATTTTATATACATCTATATTTAGAGATATATATAATGTATATGTATAAATATAAATATATATACCATATATATACAGCCAGGAGTAGAAAACCCAGGTGTTGTGATCACATCCCCCCCTCCCCCGATCTTGTTGTGGGCTGAAAAGTACACATTTTTATAATCATTCTGAGCTCATGAGGGTCATTTTGAGTTTCCAACAGTTTCCAAATAATGTCAAAATCTGAAATCTCGATTTCTTTGGCTTCTGGTCTGAAGTCTACTGAGCATGAAGCACATTTTAAGATGGATTGAATGTGAGAATGGTTGAAAATTAAGTCTTCATTTTCTCCTTCCTTTGGGAAAGCTGTTTTGCCAGTATGTCCCCATGTTGTTTGTGTCCAGTGGGGACCCCCAAAGATGGCTCATACCACATGTCATAGTTGATCCCTGCCCATGATACCGTGGCCTCATGGGTTGGAGCAGCCCTGATTCCCTGTCTCTGAACTGACAGACTTGGGAATTCATGAAGGTGGGAATCACTATTTCACTGTGCTTTTAAACTCTGATTCTGAAGCTCCATTATCAATCATGCTAAAATAAACAGTGCTTTTTTTCTTCTTCCTCTTTGTGTTCTGTAACCTTGTTCCCAGGCCAGCCATTTAAACTGGACCCCAAATCTGCACATCGAAAGCTGAAGGTGTCCCACGATAACTTAACAGTAGAACGTGATGAGTCATCATCCAAAAAGAGTCACACGCCTGAACGCTTCACCAGCCAAGGGAGCTACGGTGTAGCTGGAAATGTGTTCATTGATAGTGGCCGGCATTACTGGGAAGTGGTCATAAGTGGAAGCACATGGTAGGCAATGATATCTATTGTCCTCCAGTTATAAAAAGGCACATCTCATTGTGTGTTTTGTCAGAGCACTAGTCCATACCAGAGCCCATCTTGAAGAAAAATACACAGAAAAGCTTTTCCGGTCTGTTGTTGCTTCGGTAATGCTGCATAACAAGCATCCCGAAACTCAGTGGCCTCAAACAGTAGCCATTTAGTATTGTGCACTCACTACCCACGTCCATGGGTGAGCTGTCAGGGCTAATCTCAGCCGGGCTTTGCTTTAAACCATAGGTTGGATCTAGGTCTGTTCTTTGCGCCTCTTCATCCTCTTCGGACGTGAGGGCTACCCAGGTCATGTCTTTCTCAATGAGCCCGAGAGTGCAAGCGCAACTGTGCAAGGCACATTTCAAGCCTCTGCTTACATCACTGTCTACTACCTTCTGATTGGCCAGAGCCAAAGCCAGTGGTCTAGGGAAGTATATGTCTCCCATAGAAGTGAGAGGAGGGAGTGATATTTGCAAAACAATCGTCTAATCTTCCATTCAGCCAATAAGAAAAACAGCTTGTTTTAAGTCCATCCATTTTTAAAATTATTATTTACAGCAAGAATTGCAGCTGAGATGATAGGGTCCTGGTGCCTAACAGAGCTAGTCTGCTAACGCTGCTCTTTCACGCCTTCACACACGAGTCAGCCAACTACAGCCAGTGGGCCAGACCTGGCCCTGTGCCTGTTTTTGTAAATAAAGTGTGATGGGAACACAGCCATGCCCATTCTTTTCCATGTTGTCTGTGACTGCCTTTGAGCCACACGGCAGAGTTAAGCAGTTAAAACAGAACCCTATGGTCCACAAAGCCAAAAATATTAACTCTCCAGCCCTTTACCAAAAATGTTTGCTGATTGCCACTCTAAAACATTACTCTTCATCATTTAGAGAAAACTAATTTCTGTTGCCTTGTACATTTTGTGCTTCTAGACTGGGCCGATACTGTAAATAGTCCAGAGCTGAGGGGCTGAAGTGGTGATCAGAGGCTGGGAATCATTTCAAAAGGTCTGTTAGATCCGGCGCCATGCCCTCAGCCCAGCGAGCTCTCTAAAACCCAAGGGTGTCGGTCAGGGTGCCGTGTCTGGGTTGGAATCAGCTAACCCTGCCGAGTTAATCTCACAAAGCTGACCTTGCCTATTCCACAGTCACAAGCCACCCCCCTTGCTCCGGTTGGCTGACCTGCAAACACCTGTTTGCCATTGCTCTTTTATTTTCACTTACCCAGCCCTCATCTAGCACAGCCATGTGCCAGGCACTGGTCTAAGCATTTCACAAATGTCAGCTCACTTGTTCATCTTAACAGCCCCACAGAGGTAGGTGCCAGCATCCACCTTTGCAGATGAGATGACTGAGGTGCGTGCCCGTTAACACAAGGTCACAAAGCTCAGAGGCGGCAGGGCTAGGGAGGCTGCACTCAGGGTGCAAGCTCTGACCCAGGGCTTCGCAAACATTTTTGTAAAGGGCTAGAGAGCCAGTGTTGCTGGTTTTGCAGGCCAGATGATTTTTATCCCAACTACTCAACTCTCCTGTTGTAGTGAGAAAGCAGCCACAGACCGTATGTCCGTGAATGGGCATGGCGGTGCACAAATAAAATTTCATTTATAGAAATAAACAGAGGGCCAAATTTGACCCGTGGGTTATAGTTTGCCAATCTCTGCTCTGAACCACCATGCTTTTTTTCGAAACAGTATAATTACTTTTTAGGGCTTACAGTGGGATACTTGACAAGCGACAGCTTAATGCTAGAAACACTTCGAAAACTGCATAACCTAAAATGATGAGTATTATAGCAGTGTTATGTTTGAGGTAAGGGTGGTGAAACACTTATTGTGTCTTAGGTCCCTTACAGTGTTGGTACAAGTCAACTGAAATCTAAGAAGTGAAATCATAAGCTTGGGTGTCTCCTTTCTCCCCAAAACGGCACCTTCATTGGCCTTTCTTCTCTTGTGATCCTCACAATTCTCTTTGCCCAGAACATTTTCCTGTTCCAACATCCTGCCAGAGGATGGAGGACAAATCCTTCCGCCCCACTCGGCTCTGGGCCAGACTGGCATTTGCAGTTTTTAGCTGTGCTGGGGCAAGATAAAAGCCCGAAGGAAAATACAATGAATTTTTGCAGGTGCAAAGCAGCAAACATTTCTAGTTAATTAACGTGCTGTATTAATCTGGGATAGGATCCAGTGTCTAAATAATTACACCTCCATTAATAATTATTTATGATAAACGATACCCGATCATTATGACCTCATTCCCATTGATGAATGGTTCGGGAAATTCCACCGGACCCGTTCAGTTATATAAACACAGATCGGCATTACCTTGGAAACACCCTCCAGATGTCAAGACCAACTCGGGGCGGGGGGGACATTCTAAAATTAATCGCCACCCTTTGAATCTTTACAAACCGGATCGTGTCAGTTTCGGAAAAAGTCTCCTGTAGAAAGTGGTTTAACATTTCCTGGGAGGTGTTTGAGAGGAAAGGGTGACCCGTGTGATCAAGTGCTTATGGCACCTTGGTCCGCACCAGCTAGGGACACATAGATTTTCTCGTGAAATATGGTCCTGACTTTCAATTAACATGTATGCTATGATCCCTGCAATGGGGCATGTTAACATGGCTCTGAGAAACATAATTTTTATATTTTCTGAATTCTCCAAGTCTCACTGCGTAACTTAATGGAACATTACCTTCTGCCTTCACCTTTCAAACCCAATGGAAATATGTACATAGTTTTACAGATTAATGATAACATAATGGTATTTTCCTTTGCTTAATGGACTATACACGTAGTTATTTTCTTGCTCTCTAATGCTGTTAATGCGCACTTAGTGTTTCATGAAATGGTGTTAACTAAACCTGGGTTCATGCAAAGATGACTGGGCCAGAAGTCAAGGAGGAGGGAGTGAGATTCCGGACTCTGCTCCTAATTGTAACCTTCTCTGTGTTCTCCCATTTGCTAAATGAAGTCAGTCATACCTGCCACAGCTATTTCAGAGCAGGCTCGGCTACGGTTCAAATGGGAAGTAAACATCAGAGTCCTTTGATGCAAAATCAAAACGACATGCAGCAACAAGAAGGAAACAATACAGACATGGCTATTTTGTGATGCACATGCAAGTTCCAAATTATCTGAAAAAATGGAAATCGTGTCTGTGGGGCATAGAGAACTTAGCTGGGGCACATAATCATAACATAAACTTTCCCAAAGTGTCTCAGTGAGGTAGGCTTCAGTAGAAAAACACGTCAGGCTAGGAACTCAAGGAAGAAGGGAGCCAGGGCCTTGCCGGAACCCTGGAAGGCTGAGTGCACAAGTCATGGAGCCTGCTGCTGCAGCCCAAGAATCCATGGTGACCTCTGTGTGCCAGAAAGCCACCCCCGGCCCCAAGCCAGGGACCCCAGAGTTTGCCAAAACTCCTGCAAACCCCACCTCTGCCTTCTGCCGTCTGGAGAAGAGTGTTTCCCCACCTCTTAGAACTTCTGGATCTTATGCAAAGCCATCACAATGGAAAGGGATTCTGGGAAATGCAGCCCCACGATTGTCCCCGTGATGCGGAGCAGGATTGGCAAGAAGGAAGAGAGGAGGCCAAGTTGATGGCACCCTGGGCTGGTCCCCTAGGCTGAACCGATGATCAATTCCATCCTCTTTTTAAATTTAGTGATAGCATGTTCTTTTCATTTTTTTAACACATCACTCTTAAAGAGATTGTATTTTAAGTCCAACATGCAATTTAAAAAAAAATGTCATTTCATCAAAGACCAGTGAAGTTTTTTTTCTCTCTGCACTATTGGTAAGGTACTATGTGTCAGTGTCCACCTAGACTGGCTTCTGCCATAACATATTAAAGGTTGAGCTCTGAATCATCTAGTCTACAAGTGTTACAGAGGCATATCTCAGCAGGGTAAAAAGAGACGAAGGAACTTAGAACACTGTCGAAAGAATCCTTCACCTTTTTGGGCAGTTGAGAGTACACTGAGGATAACCAGGATGTCCATCTCTCAAAGACTTCCAGAATTAAAACATGTAGTAGGAAATATAATCAGAGGGGCTCTCGGCAGGGATGAATCACGTGCTTTCCGGTGAGGGAAGGGATTTGAGAGAGTTAAGTCTATGGCCTTTTGAGTTATCCAAGGTTCAAATTCTGATTCCGGTACTTATTCATAATGTGGCATGGGGCAAAGATAATAAAACAGCAGGTACCGAAGATTCCTTGCCAGGCCTTGTGCCCCAGATTTTACACGTATTCTTTCCTTCACTCCTCAAAATCGCCCTCAGAGATGGAGATTGTCCACTGTCCCTGTGCCGTAGATCAGGAAACCAACTAGGAGAGGACAAGGAACTTACCCCGTAAATGAAAACTGTTCTCTGCGCTTACCCCATTGCAAAGTGTACTCAAAGTCATGGAAAGTGACAGACACGGTGTCAGTTGAAAAATTAAAAGTAGGTCAAAAGGAGAAGCTTAAGGTTGTGCTGTCCAATATGGTAGTCCTGGGCCACGTGCAGTTAATTTAAATCACGTAACTTAATTAAAATTAACCGATTTTAAAATCTGGTTCCTCAAGCCTGGCAGCCACAGTTCAGGTGCCGAGTAGCCACATGTGGCTTGTGGCTACCACATTGAACGGAGCAAAACGTTTCACTTGCTGCAGAAACTTCTGTTGGACAGTGCTAGAGAATTCATTGTGTGGGTCTGGAGAATTCATTGCATGGGTCTCGATGAGTGTTAAAAAAAAAAAAGACAGTGGGACACAAAGTTCAAATTCTCTTGTAATACTGGAACTAAAAACAGGAATATGAGTAAATACAGTGGCCCATTGCCGCGCACTGTATTTTTGGGAGGGAAGACAATGAGGACCACCTGTGTCAGGGTCTTTGCCAAGCTTTCACTGAAGAATGGGCGGGGCCAACAGAAAAATCATATTTTCGTGGCCCCTGAAAACTGTAGAAAGGACGTAGCGTACGTGTGCAACACGCCTCATTATTTTGTCATCACTGTTATGTTTGCGCAGGTATGCCATCGGCCTTGCTTACAAGTCAGCCCCGAAGCACGAGTGGATTGGGAAGAACTCTGCTTCCTGGGCTCTGTGCCGCTGTCACAATAACTGGGTAGTGAGACACAACAGCAAGGAGACCCCCATCGAGCCGGCCCCCCACCTCCGGCGCGTCGGCATCCTGCTGGACTATGATAATGGCTCCATCGCCTTCTACGACGCTTTGAACTCCATCCACCTCTACACCTTCGACATCACATTCTCGCAGCCTGTGTGCCCCACTTTCACGGTGTGGAACAAGTGCTTGACCATTATAACTGGCCTCCCCATCCCAGACCATCTGGACTGCACAGAGCAGCTGCCGTGAGCACCTGGCCACGCGGGCGGGGCTACTTTCTGGGGAATAAAAAGGGTCGTGGCCACCATTTCAGGGACAGAGAAAGCACAGGCTTCCAGAGCATGATTAAATGTCGCCAGAAAGTGTCCAGAAATCGGCTAGGATAGGACTCAAAGTAGGCGATCCTCCCCTCTTACTGCCCTTTGTATTAAGTACACACTTTAATAATTTCTTCAAATTTTTCTTGTATTTACAGGAAAGTTTATAGAGTATTTATGAAATGAAAACATAACCGGAATTACAACTCTTAGAAATTATTTGGCTTTGCACATTAAGAGGCCCAGAGGTTTACCAGCCCTTTACGACAACCTTTGTGTCATCACAGTCTGTGGGCTTGAGAAAACAGTCTTTTGTAGTTTCGTATGCTTCTTTACCTTCTCACAGCATCGTATCTCATACTGATCCCATGGTAGGTCCTGTCGCCTCGATGCTGCATAACAGAATATGCAATTACCCTAAAAATTTAAAAAAAATAGTTTTGAACCTAGTAGGGCAGTAAACGGGCTTTCTCACTGTGGTTTATTTTGAAGTGTTTTAACTGATGTCAAAACCGTCTTGGATCAACTAGAACGGAGAGCAAGAGGGAGACCAGAAAGAATTGACTTGGGAGCTTGGAATCCGCCATGGCCCAATCTTTAATCACCCTCGGATGGCTGGTGGGGTCATGTTGGAAAGAAAGGTTCCGAAGCCTTTGGCCATGCATGACCTCCCCTTTCCCAGGATTCAGGATTCTGGGAGAACGTTAAAAATGAGCTTGCAATTAAAAATAGTCACTTGGAATTCTACTGATTATTCAAAACGTCAGAGGCCGATTTGTCTTTGATCAGAAGTAGCGTTCTGTTTCATGACAGAAACCTATTTCATTCTTCCTTTTAATAGTTTCTGTAGGCCTGTGACATTGCTCTGCTACATTTAATAGCTGTCCTATCTCTCTCTCCCCCAAATCATTTTTCTTTGGTTGCTGGGGCTGAGGAAATAAACATTTTCTGGTACAAATGGCAGCACCACTTTGGATTGACTTTGCTCTCCAGGACATCAACACATGGCCCTGACTGTCTCTACCACGTCCAAATATAACTCACCTGAAAACACTTAGTATTTATGAGTTGCTAATGACAAGGGACGTTGCATAAAGTACTATTTACTAGTATACGTGCCTCAAAAGTTATAAACAGACTTTTATTAAACAATCTTGAAAGATGTAGAAGTCCCTCTGTATTCTAGTATAGTTCACTATAGAGTTGTAAGACAAAAACAAAACAAAACAAAAAAACAACAAAAAAAAAGAACAAAACAAAACAAAACCAAAAAAAAAAAATCAAATTCACTATTCCCACGCTGGAACCTGCTAACAGAACCTGCTAATAGGATGTTAAGTGGGATTCTGGGCATGCTGATCCGGTAAGATGGAATGGTCCATGAAGTAAGGCTTTCTTAAGCAGTCCTTGGACTTGGACCAGGAATCCGGCATTGGTTCTACCTTGACGAAAGGCGTGATGTCTCTAAGTCATTTCATTTGCTAAAAATATTTATCTGAGCTACTGCGTTGGCCATTTTGACTGAACAGACTGGTGGATGTAGGCATTGTTTTTAGCAGTTTTGTTTTTAACCAAATCAACCAATTGTCTCCCTAAAATCCGTCCATAGACCCGCTGTTTGAGCATCGTGCTATGTGAGCACGAGCCTGGACTTCATGGGCTGTGTCATGGGCGCTTCTGTCCTCCTCAGCGGCAGATGCTCTCCTTTTTCTTAACAGATAGAGTTTATATATTTACTATATTATTTATACCCAGATGAATATTTTGATAGCTACTTAGGACAATTTCACATTGAAAAGATGGACCCCTGAGTGGAAAAAAAAAAGTTAATCATTCTCTGGAAACTTAAGGGTTGTTTTTTGGTTTTTGGTTGTTGTTGTTGTTGTTGTTTTACAGCATAAAAACAATGTGTATTTGCCTTCCCTGAACAAACTGAAAGGGTTGTAATTTTTACATACTGTTTTTGGTAGCTGGATAACGGATATTTTAATGCACTTTGTACACTAACAGGTTTTAAATAAAAGGGTCTAAAGCTCAGCTTCTGAGTTTTTAAAATCATGGTCGCCAGGTACCAGTAAACGCTACAGTTTGCCTTACGATGTTAATGTAAAGCATTTACGAGGACAATATTTCCATGAATATAATGTTTTTCAATATAAAGAAGTTACTACTCAAATTTTCGCTGCAAGCCATTTAGTTTATGTTTCGGCTATTTTTATAAGGACGAGAGGGATTATGTTATAATTTGGTTGTGGAAGTCTCACTCTTTGCTAACTTAAAAACCTTGTGGATAGTAGCGGTTACTATTTCCATGTTGTCATATTTACAGGAAAGTATGTATATGGTGAAAGGCCACAGTGTTTACTTTCATTACTGTAATGATGTAGAAAAGATTTCCGTGTGAATTTTTTTTGAAAGTCTAAAAAATATACGCTATAAACATTTGCTGCAGTACAATTCTTTAAGTGGACTGGGGTCATTGTATTTTGTTTTTGAGATCCTTTCTTCCCAGGAAGCATTGTGACACAGGGAAGAAAGAGATGGCAGTGCCAATCACCTTAATACAGCACCAAGCCTGCCGGGTCTGATGTCGTGGGTGTGCGAACAGGTGCTGTCACCATCTTGAAATTCTTGATAATTTTTGAATGGGAGGCCTGGATCTTCATCTGGCGCTGGGCCTCAAAAATTATATAGCCAGTGCTCATAACAGAACTCAGAAACATGGTACCTCTCTTCCTGGTGGATACAAATGAAGAAACCTGGATCCAATGTCAAAAGTGGCTGGCCGTATAATTCAAGTAGGAATCTAAATGGATTAAGAGAAGGATGAGCGTGGGTGAAGATTTTCTTTCCAGCTCGAAAAAAAAAAAAAAGACTTCAAAAACTGACTGCAATAGTGTTGATGACTTCAGCTGGAGAAGAGGATATGGCCTGATGATGAATGGGCAGTTTGTCACGGTACTGAGATATTGACCCTAAACTTCCCAAGGAACTGAACCGGCTCTGTCCGGTGAACGGGGGATTCCGTTTCGGCTCCAGGCACATATGTGGTGCCTGAAGAGACACACACATGTATGCTCGCATACCTGTGCTTTTGGTGTTGGGAAGTTGATGATTTGGTGTACCCTTCAAAATGTTTAAAAAGGAAACAAAGACCACGATGTTGGGAGCAGGAGGATGTTTTTGAAATTGTGTTTCTCAGCAAGGGCGCGATTCGGCAATGTCTGGGGTCATTTTTGGTTGTCCCAACTTGGGAGAGGGTGCTATTGGCATCTCGTGGGTAAAGACCAGGGATGTTGCTCAACATCCATCCAGTGCACCGCACAGCCCCCTACAATCAAGAATGATCCGGGCAAAATATCAGTGGTGCCGCAGGGGAGAAGCTTGCTCTTTGGGGTTCTTTAAAGCAAAATGCTCACAAATATGTTTTACTGTTCCTGTAATCAATTCAATGCCTGATATATCAAAAAGAAAAGGGGAAACTTCACTGCAAAACCTTCACTGCGGTGGCTCTTTCACTTAAAATATATATATATAACAAAACCATTATAAAAATCTGGAATCTGAAAGGTAGTCCAAGCCTGTATAAATGGGAATGCAGGGATCGGTGTCATGAAGATCTGGATGTGATTTGCTTAGTTTGGAAATGCAAAGTAGGCCACTCCTTTGACCTGAACCAATTCAGCCCCTGGTACTTGCCTCACACTGCCACACCCTCGGCCCAGACTGTTCTCGCCATTGCTGTTGCTTTCTGGTTCAAAATAAAGTCATTTTTGTGGTTCCAAGGCCTTCTGTCTCGCCTGTCTCTGTTGCCTTGTCATCACTGTGTGTTTTCGCACTCACTGTTGCCACAAATATTTATTCCACTTCTGTTGGTTTTTTTGAACTATTTTGCAACATATAATGTCTCCTTTTATTTCTGAAACTCTGACCCACTATCATGCCTCTCTCCATTTGAAATAGTTACTACGCCTCAGAATGGTCCCTAGGAAATTTTTTTTTTAAGATTTTATTTTTTCACGAGAGACACAGAGAGAGGTAGAGACATAGGCAGAGGGAGATGCAGGTTCACTGCAGGGAGCCCGATGCGGGACTCGATCCCAGGACTCCGGGATCACGACCTGAGCCAAAGGCAGACACTCAACCACCGAGCCACCCAAGTGCCCCATCCCTGGGAAATTTAAAAAACACAATAAAGAAGACCTATACGGGAGGGGAGATCCGGAACAAGAATGGCTTGATTTCGAGTCTTCTAGATGCAGTGGAGGAGTTGAGGACATGGGTGATTGGAGCAGAGCAGTGAGGCTCTTCACAGTGGAGGCTGCAACAAGCCCAGTGGGTGGCCCCTAAGTCTCTCCCCGACCCCAGCCCGTGGCTCCCAGGACTTGACTTTCTCTCCTTAGGGGTGCAAGGCCTTTTGATGGACGTCAGTGCCCTGCAAAGTGGTCACGGGCCTGCGGCGTCAGCACCAGCTGCGGGCTGGTTAGAAATGCCTGGTCTGCAGCCCAACCCCGGGCCTCCTCATCAGCATCTCCGGGAGCGGGGCCAGCAGTAAGTCCTAACGGGCCCTCCCGGGGACTCTGATGCTGGCAAAAGTTTGTGAAGCGAAGCTCTGGGGGGCTTTATCCAGACCCCTGTCCCATATGAAAATGCACTTACAACCTGGAATGTGTTTTCAAGGTAATGTGCTTTGGGGCAGCATGATGTAATGCAGTGATTCTTAACCTGGTAGGGCATTAAAATTTCCCTTTTTTAAAATAAAAATGCTGATTCCTGGGTTGGCTTCTGAAAGAGCGGGGATGAGGTGGTCTAGCGTGTGGCCAAGCACCCTGGACTTTTGTTTGAAGTGATTCTAAAGTGCAGCCAGGACTGGCAGCCAATGCCAGAGACAGGGGTGTGGCACCTTTTCTATAAAAGTCAGAGGGCGAATCATTCTAGGGTTGTGCAGGGCGTACGGTCTCTGTGGCAACTACTCGACTCGGTGGTGGTGGAGTGAAAGCAGCCATACAGGATACAGAAATGAACGAGTGAGGCTGGCTTCCGATAAAACTATTTATTTATTTATTTATTTTTAAAGATTTTATTTATTTATTCATGAGAGACACACAGAGAGAGAGAGGCAGAGACACAGGCAGAGGGAGAAGCAGGCTCCATGCAGGGAGCCCGACGTGGGACTCGATCCCAGGTCTCCAGGATCACGCACTGGGCCGAAGGCGGCGCTAATCCGCTGAGCCACTGGGCTGCCCCAATAAAACTTTATTTACAAAAAACAGGCCTGGCTCTGCACTTGGCCCTTGGTGTGATTGGCCAGCTCCTGCTGTGACACACACAGTACTGAAGTCACGGTGGGCCACTGGCTATCTCCTGTCGCCCTGAGGGCTCGGCCGCCCCTCGTGGCTCTGGGCCTCTCTGCTCTCAAGTCCTTTCCCCCTTGGAATTCCCTCAAATCTGAAATCACGGAACTCGTGGAGAACAAGTCACCGAGTGTCTTAGGCCCACTCAAAGGTGATTAGAAGATTCTTTCGTTCAGCAGAGGAGGGCATGTCAGTTCTAATGATTAGCGCTCCCGCTTCCATAATTTTGACTTGAATCAGCCCTTCTCACAAGTGACAGGTGTGTAGAAGAGATTCCCTTTAATAGGAGTTGTGAAGTACGTTTAATTGGAACTTTTGAAACCGAACAGACACTGCTGTAATTAATCGCCTTTCAGAGTCAGCTCGGAGGGCCTGCCATGCGCTCCAGAGAGCAGCCCACATCTCCCTCTTTTTTAAATTATTATTTGGAAAAGGGCACAAGTAAAATCTGTTGAAGGTAGTTGCTCGCGATTATACTAGGAGCATAAAAAGGGAGACATGTGCAACCTGCAAAGTCCTTCTCCCTTGAGTATCGTTCTCGCTGTGGTTTGCACGTTCAAGAACAAAATAAAAATGGGGTTGAGGCCTTATGGAAAAACCTTTCTCGTAGCTGTCCTGTCTTAACACGGGCGATTTATGGAGAGGAATGCAGGTCTCCCTTTGGATCTTTCTCAGCCGTGTTCTCCTGGGAGAATTATAAAAGCATGATTAAATAGGAAGTATAGCAATTAACAAGCAAATGTGTCGTGGCCGAAAACCAATTACCAATTAAGGAGAGACACAGAAAAAAAAAATGATTGAATGAACATCGGTGCTTTGGCACGGTCTATTTATTCTCAAAGCTTAATTTTTGATGATGGTCATTAAAAGCTGTCCGAGTTCGGCGACGTATTTCAGTTACTAAAGCTCGTAGCCCCCCAGCCTTATTTTCCCTCCAGCTCCTGCCCGCTCTCGCCTCCTGTTTTCCATCAAGCTTCTCCAAGGGCGGTTCAGACGCCCGTTCCCTCACCTCTCCTTAGACGTCCCCACACTCCGCAGGGCGTGGAGGCCCTTCGCTCTACCGAGCCACGCTCGCTGACGTCAGAAACCGTGTCTGCATCGGTACGTGTGTCCACACACGTTTGATCGGCCTCATCTTGACATTGGGCAGCTTTTGAGATGTTGACCACTTCTTTTTTATCCGCCCCCCCATGCCATCCGAGCCTCCTCCTCCTGCACCACTGTGTGCAGAAGCCTCCCCGAGTTAAATCTCTGCGCCTGATTTCTCTGCGGACTCCGCCCCCTTATGTCGACCTGCTTATTTGGTCATCTCTTTGGGACATCCGATGGGCACCTCAAACTCCACGTGTCCCAATCTGACCTCATGCTTTCTCTCCCCCAAACCTTGCCTCATCCGACGGTTTCATGAACCCCCAACCACAGGCTCATGTTTGGTGCCCTCCTCACCCTCCATGTCCAATCCATCACCAAATCCTGTTAATTTTCTCTCTTAAGTATCTTGACGCCTTTCTCCATCTGCATACAACGTCCAAGTCCAGGTTTCCTTATCTCTCACTCTAGAGCTGATTTAACCTGTTGACTGTCTACCTGTAAATCCACACTGCACCCTACACCCCTCCAGGTGACAGGGCAGCCAAGGTAATCTTGAATTTGGGTCACGTAGCACCCACCCCTGCACACTCCTCCCATCAGAGTCACACCCCCCCCTCCTGAATCCCGTATGTTGACTTTAAAACTCCTGCAAAGCTCTTCCACAATGCCCATAAGATTCTCCAAGGTCCCCGGGACGCCTGGGTGGCTCAGTCGGTGAAGCGTCTGCTTTCGGCTCAGGTCATCATCCCAGAGTCCTGGGAGAGAGGCCCAAGTCAAGCTCCCTGCTCAGCAGACTGTGTGCCTCTCTCTTTCCATCTGCCTCTCCCCCCTGCTCATGTTCTCTCTCTCTCTCTCTCTCTCAAATAAATAAAATCTTAAAAAAAAAAGATTCTCCACTGTCCCTGTGTATTTCCCCAGTATCATCTTGGACCACTGTCCCCTTATTCCCTGCACTCTGGCGAGATGGCTGCTGCAGCCATGCTCTGGTCTACCACAGACCTTTCTTCCCTACCACGAATATTTCAGATTACTTCTCAACCCTCATTTTCCCGAGAATCTACCCTGACCTCCGTGCCTCAGCCAAATTCCCCTAATCTCATAAAGCAACTCATGCCTCCCTGCATGATGTTTGTCACAGTTGAAAGTTAGCATGTCTTTAAGTTTCCTTTACTACGTCTGTTCCTTTTCCCCCACTAGACTGTAATATTCCTGAAGTCTGAGGCCAAGACTGACTTAGCTCAATGTTTGCCAGTAGGAGGTACTCAGTAAATAGAGAGTAGAATTCTAATTTCTCATGAGTGTGTTCTACTTATAACTTTCTCTTACACCTACAGCATGCACTATTCTTTCTCTCTCTATTTTTAAAGATTTTTATTTATTCATGAGAGACACAGGGAGAGAGGCAGAGACATAGGCAGAGGGACAAGCAAGCTCCATGCAGGGAGCCTAATGCGGGGCACGATCCCAGGATCCTGGGACCATGACCTGAGCAGAAGGCAGATGCTCAACCACTGAGCCACCCAGGCATCCCTATTCTCTCTTTAAAATTTTTTTTATTTAAATTCAATTTAGTCAACATGTAGTGTATGATTAGTTTCAGGGGTGAAATTTAGTGATTCACCAGTTGCATATAACACCTAGTGCTCATTACTTCAAGTAATCCTTAATGCCCATCACCCAGTTACCTCATCACCCCACCCACCTCCCCTCCAGTGACCCTCAGTTTATTTCCGAGAGTTCAGAGTCTCATGGTTTGCCTCCTTCTCTGTTTTTATCTCATGTTATTTTTCCTCTCTTCCCCATGTTCATTCGTTTTCTTTCTTAAATTCCACATATGGTAGAGATCACATGGAGAGCATATGGTATTTGTCTTTCTCTGACTGACTTATTTCACTTAGCATAATACCCTTTAGTTCCATCCATGTCACTGCAAATGGCAAGATTTCAGTCTTTCTTTGATGGCCGAGTAATATTCCATTGTGTATATATAGACCACATCTTTATCTGTCCACATCCATCTGTCAATGGACATCTGAGCTCTTTCCATAGTTTGGCCATTGTGGATATTGCTGCTATGAACATTGGGGTGCAGGTGCCCCTTCCAATCACTATTGTTGTGTCCTTTGGATAAACACCCAGTAGTGCAATTGCTGGGTCGTAGGGCAGCTGTATTTTCGACTTTTTGAGGAACCTCCACCCTGTTTTCCAGAGTTCCTGCGCCAGCTTGCATTCACACCAACAGTGTACAAGGGTTCCCCTTTCTCCACATCCTCACCAACATCTGTTGTTTCCTGACTTGTTAATTTTAGCCATTCTGACTGCTGTGAGGTGGGATCTCCT